ACTTCACTTGATTTTCCCAACGGAAGTCCACGCTGTCGTTCGTCGATGGTCTTGACATCTAAAGCGGCAAAATTGCAGCGCACTTCTTGAATTCTGTCCTCTAAAGTTTATAAAATCCGTTTTTCCAACTCGCAAGATTTACGTGAATATGGAAGTCAGATGATAGTATTATCGTTTTGGTGATCTCACCTAATGATAATAATAATAATAATAATAATGCCTTTATTATCTGCAGTGAGGCGAAGTTTAGCCAGACGGCTTCTCCTCCACTTAACCCCAAAGCAGAGAAAAAAGAAAGAAAAATACATACACATGTTACAAAAAAAGTAATTAAGAACAACATAGTTTCATTAAATGAACGACAGATACACAAAACAATCAGGAAAAGACAATCATATACATATATAAACACAGAGAACTAACTTGTCTCCAGCAACTGATTTTTCATTAATTTCTTAAAAGAAGAGACTGGCTTGGATCGATGCGAATGGTTAAGAGCATTGTAATGTTTAACAGCATTATAGGTATAACTCCTTTCAAAGATAAAAGTGTTGTGGAGCGGCATATTAAAATTAATATTAAATCTAAGAGTCCTTGGTACGAAGTTACCACGAGGTATCAATTTGCTAAAAAGATAGACCGGTCTGTTTGTTAGCAGAACTTTATGAGTTAAGACGTTCAATAAATATAAAAATAGTTTATCAATTTTCAGCCAGTTGAGTTCTCTGATTTTATCCGAAACGTGACTGAACCTACGGAGACCAAATATAAACCTACAGCAGCTGTTTTGAATTTTCTGAAGCTTACATTTGTTATTATAATCTAAACATGGATAATAGAGGACAAGAGAATAAGATATAATTGACAATACAAGAGTTTCGCAAAGCTTTTTACGGGTTTTAAAATTTAAAATATGTCGACTTGAATGTAGAAGTTTCAAGCGCATATACGTTACTCTCGACAAATATGAAACGTGATGATCAAACCTCATGTTTTTGTCGAGAGTTATTCCGAGGTTTTTAGTATAGTCAACAAGAGGGATGAGTGTTTGATCCAACACAATATTAATTCTCTCCTTCACAACTGGATAGGAATTTTTCGAACAAAACAACATAGCAGTAGTCTTCTTAGGATTTATTTTAAGACAGTGTTTCTTGCAATAATCGTTCACGTTAGTCATGTCCAAATTTATTTTGAAAGAAATCTCGTCAACCTCTGACGGATCAAAGGCAAACACCAACTGAGTATCATCCGCGTAAGTATGCATGGCTGAATGGACTATACAATCTTGCAAATCGGCAGTGTATATCAGATATAATAAGGGACCAAGCACAGAATCCTGAGGAACTCCTGAAGGAACCGGCTTCGTAGTGGACATGCCCTGTTCAGTTTTCACAGTTTGTTGCCGATTAAGCAAGTATGACTCGAAGAACTTTACAACTATATCTGACATACCAGCGTAAGACAATTTACTCAATAGTATCTGGTGATTGACCATGTCAAAGGCTTTCGAGAAATCTAGCAGTATCAATACGGTGTTGATGTGATTATCCAAATTATAGATGATAGAGTCAGTGAGATTTAATAACGACGAGGTCGTGCTGTGACCAGACCTGAAACCCAACTGACATTGAGGAAATAAGTTATTCTGTTCAAAAAACTCCACCAGTTGAGAGTAGACAGCTTTCTCTAGTATTTTTGATAGAAAGCATAACAGGCTGATTGCTCTAAGATCAGAATGTTGCTCTGGACAATTGTTTTTGGCTAGTGGAATAATTATATCATTTTTCCAGCTGGCTGGATAATAACCACTTTCAAGGCAGATATTAATAACATGCGTTATGTAATCGATAAGCCGGAAGCAGCTACGGGAACCACATGACTAAGTAACCACATCGAGACTCTGCTTCCTAAGATCGTACAAAATACCCACATATTTTGATAATAAGGATAAATAAAACATCAGTTTTTCTCCTTTTTGGGTTATGAGGCATTCCAGGTGAAATAAACTGACGTTTTAAAATTCGTTCATATTGGACCTGTTATTACATCTAGGAGTGACAGAGAAAACACAATTTTTACTAAGATAGCGGTTATTAAAATTGGGATTTTTTTCGTATTTTTTTTTTGTCGAATTGAAGATTATCTGAGCAGGATCAAGACAAATGATTTTTTACAATTTTATTCTCTAAAAAGAACTCAACAATTTCGTTTTCCCCGATGGGACAATTTTATCCAATGGCCTTTGCATACGCACTTGTATTTTACCCTAATCTAGGTACTATGGTGTTACTCAAATCTCAAATGGAACCTAATCCTACCCTTTCTGGGAAGCACAAAAGTGCACACCTATAAAAGCTAATTGTTGGGGTCAAGTTGAAAGTCGGAATACAATATAGGTATTGATCTGATGATGTGATATATATCTAGGTAGATACTATCGGTACTATCATTAAAGCTACCGAAAATAGGTTCTATTTTCTATTTATACTTATGATGGATTTTTCTTGGATGATTTTCTTTTTTATTAAGCTGGCTACGAATAGCGTTTATGCAACCAGACATACACTGACGCTTTGCTGTCTAGATAACATTTTTTCCTTCTATGATAATTGCATGTTGTATTTGGAGGTTGCATGTGGTTTTGAAGGGGGGGTAAATCTCAACCGATTTCTAAAGATGGCTGCCTGTGCATGGCAAGCACGTCGCAGTCCAGCTTATGCCACGCTCCGACGTTGCCAGACCTTCTTTATGAAGCAAAATTCAGATAATTTTATATTTTCAGTGCTACCTTTAACTCTTTATAAACTAAAAAAATCATATCACAATTATTTTATTACGTTTGTGTGCGAAATTTTCCCCCGATTCATTGATAATTATTGAATTAAACTAAAAGCAAGTTTGGCAACTCTGGATTAGTGGCGGATAACCTGTGATCGTGTGAGAGCTATCACCACGTGGTTGGAAGTTTTGCCATATTACTTTCCTTTATTTCAATTCTCAGAATCATGATAATCCTACATCCATTGTGAATGATGTATCGGCCCCTGTACATTTTCCTATATCAAAAGCAAACTGAATAGACGCACAGATAAGCTTTAGACATATTAATTTGAAATGTACAAATTATTAATAATTCATTATGAGCTAAAACGGTAACGGATCATGCTTTTTGGTGAAAGTCGTGGTGTATAATTTTCTGAAATACGAAAATAATTTATAATGCACAAATTCCATTCTACGTCACGTCCTTGCATAGCAGAAATTCCCGCGACGTTGTCACATTGCCAAAAATAAAGCGATATATGATAATTTATGTCGCATGACTTGTATTTTGTGCTTCATTGAGGATCATCAATTTGAGAGATATTTGAAGTTACAACAGTCTTACATTACGCAGATGTTTGAAGTCGATTTACTAAAAACAGGTTGAAAAATATTTTTTCATATGAGCCTAGCTACGACGGATTATTTTCCTGAACCTCCCATTATTGGTACTCGATAACCGCATGGAACTGCAAAAAAACTGCTATCTTAGATTGACCAATTTATTCTACGCAACTAAAAGCAGAGTATATTTTTATATGAGAATTTACAGCTTTATTCTGGTTCTATTGTAAGTTATTCCAAAAAAAAGTAAAACAACTTGACTTACAAAATAACATGCAATTAGGCAATTTCATATACCCATAGACCTAAACAATACATAAAGAAAAATATGTACCTATAAACATTAAATTTGATTCCACAATTGTAAAAATTATAGACAAAGAACAGGACTATTTCAAAAGAAATGTCATTAGAATGATATATATAAAGAAAGATACTACAAGTAGAAATTATAGAGCTGATACAAATAGTCTATCAATTATCTACATAACTTTAATAAAAAGAACCTAAATGCTGCATTTCCTCAGCCATACCACCCACTCAATGTAAAAAGATAATATTCCTGTATATATTTTTTACCTTCGTTTTGTCTTCATTTTGATTAGAAAATATTTAACGCGAGTCGTTGATCTCCACTCAAATTACCACATGTACCTGGCAGAAATTTATAATTATTTTTACGAAGAAGTAAGTCTTTCTGTATATATTAATTTTACATTTATTATTGTTTTTTCTTTTTAACGTGTTTTGTGTTGTAATTTCCGACACTTTTGTTTAGTTTTCGGAACTCACATATGCGCCTGAATATGGCATTTAAAGTCTCCCAACCCTCGTATTTTTCATAAATGTTTTATGTTGACCGAATCCCAAGAGTTTATAAATTGAATTGATATCAACAGTCAACAATCCAAAACTGCAATGCAGAACCAGAGTAAATTCGTTATGGCTTCTTTCGAATAAGTACAAAAAAATGATTCGTCTGAATCTATAAACCTTAACTCCCGTCTTCTGACTGGTCACCTCTTAGATTTCGTCTATATTTGTCATTGAAAACAGATTCATATATACATAGAATTTTATCAATAGCACAATATATTTGGGATAATGTTATTGCTCTTATCCGATTGTGGAAATGTGTAGTTACATAGGCATTTGTGAGCACGACCAAAGAAAATGGAAAGATATAGCTATTTTTAAAAGCAATTTGATGTAGCTCAAAATCTTCTATTCCAGGATGCTGCGTTAGAATAAAGAAAAACACTAATTTTATATCTTATCTGTATCACTGAACACAATCTTCCTTTATATTGCGAATTTAGTTGAGTTAAAATAAAATCGAACATTGTAACAACATATTGTTGTACCTTGAAAAGCTGGAAGCGCCGCCTCCATTTTTCAATGACCAACCGAATGCATTTGCTTTCAGAAGGCTTAAGCCTCTTCCGCGCCCCCTGGGCTTCAATTATCAATCAAATGCTTTCCTTCCCATTCCCAGTTTTCGGTAGACTTTGCTGAAATACGTGCTTGTCGAGACATCGAAACGCGACCTGCGCGACATCTTGTGAAATCAGTGCCTACTAATAGAAAATAAGCCTGGCAATGCTGCTAGACAGCAAGTTGACTTTTGACAAGTGATCCAAGGTCAAATTTTCGTCTAAAATGTCAATGTGGAACAATTTCTCATGTCTTTTCTTTTGAGATAATACTAAAAATTGAACCCACATCCATTTCTATCGGCCCTTTCAAAAACAAGGTGAGTAAATTGCTTTCTTTTCGTATACAGGCACGACTTTGTGCGCTAATTTTAACATTTTTTCACATATATGTACTCCATTTTAAGAGTCAAATTTCGTTTTAGGGTTGAAGGCTTACGCCTAAACACATTGCTTAAAAGTTAACGAAACTGAAGAAAACTACTGCTAATCGAACTATCCAAAAGTTTTGCTGAAAAACCATCCCCAAGAGGTGCAGCATCTACCTGGAACTGGGGAGCATCTCCATATAGAACACTACCAGCTGATTTGACTCGCGCAAGGAGCCAGGACAAACTACAAGCCAACCAGACGCAGGACTCAAATTGCAGGTTTTTTTTTGAGATTTGCTAGGCATACATTTTTATTTTTTGCCTTAATCCTATATAACTGCAGAGATTAGTATCTGCTGTGCATAATTTTTGTGATGCATATGTAACTGATTTGCATTTGTTTTGCTCTGGGCATGTGCCCTATAACGTGTAGATCTGTGCCCAATCTGTGTAACATACTTATACTAAGGTGCCAAATTGAAACCTAATATTTTCCTACTGTCCATTGTCAGCCAAGTAACAGATCAATTACACATCATTGTAACAACTATTCAAGGCAAAAAAACTCTGACTGGACATTTAGAAAGTAACTAAAAATATATGAACATATGTATGCATATATTGAGAAAACATACTAACATAAGGTAGAGGGATGGATCGGCACTTAAATGGTCGCCAGAATATGGGGCCTCCTCCCCCCATACAATATGCTTATTCTACTACTTCATCTCAAACTCAAGCCATACCATATTATTTTAATCAACAAGCAGTTGTCCAAAGACCTGGTGGGATTACTCAGGGACAACCTGGTGCTCCAGCTCCAACACAAAGTGGTGTTCAAAGTGTGATGCCCAGTTATTATTATTCTCCCCAACAAATGGTCCAAAGGCCTGGTGCTATACCTCAGACACCTGGCATGTCTGCACCCACACAGAATCCCATGGCACCAGTTTTACAAACAGCTTATTTTGCTTATAATATGCCAACTATGATTCCAAGGACTAATGTGGTGAATGCTCAGCCAACTGCTGGAACACCAGCTCCTCCGCCAGCTCCAGTAGCTACTATGGCTACAATGGCCACAAGTCAATCACAACCTCAGACTACAGTGCAAAAGCACCCACAAAGAAGGAAAAATGCACTGAAAATCATAGATCCAGATACAGGCGTTGATAGGCTAGATGAAATTTTTGTAGAAAATTCACATTCAACATCAGGTGATTCATCAGCACGTCAAACTCCGCAACCTAATCCAAGCCACAACAAAGAGGTGCAAGCCACTTTTGCCAAACAAGTGATGCAGGCTATCAGTAAGGATAAGGAAGGTACTCATTTGAATGATGATCAACATCATCATGCTGAAGAACCAGTGGATCCTAATCAAGTGTACCATATGGGACCACATGGGGTCCCATGTACAAAGGTAGATCCTATTGTACAAACAAGCAAATTGCAACCAGGAGCAAAAGAATTTATGTCGAAAGAGCCACCTATTGTATCTGCTAACTGTGATGCAGAAGAGGTTACGTTAACCAATAAACTTCCAAAAGAAAGAGAAAGCCCTGTTAAAAGTCGTAGTAAAAGGGATTCTAATAACAGAGATCAGAAGGATCCTGCTAAAGAAGTACCAGTTATAAAAGACGGTGATAAAGCTGCTCCTATGAAACAGGAAATGTCTTCCGAACCAAATAATTCTCCTCAACCAACAGTTATTAGTAAAGACACTTCAAAGGATAGCAGTTCACGTGCACCAGAGAAGAAAGGTCAACGAAAAGAAAACGCGAACACGACAGATCCAAAGATCGCTTCTCCAGAAGTGACTGAGAATAGTTTGACTGCCGTAAACCAACAACAGACATATACTGCTAATCAGGATGTCAACAGTAATTTAAAACAAGCTAAACAAGGTGCAGCTCGAACTAATAATCCTAAGGCAAATGCACCCCTAAGTTCAACCTCAAAGCCTATTCCTCAAATACCAACACCTCAACCAGTGAAGTCAAGCAATAAGTCACATAAGAAGAATGAACTCAACCAAAAAGGTGCTAACAAAGAAGGTACAGATATGGATGCATTCAATGATAACACAGTAACAGAGGTTAATGCAAATATTGATGTAAATACTAGTCCAGCTGTTAGCAATGATGTCATCAATGCTAATGTGATTCCAACCCCAGATACCAATACCACTCAACCTCCTGTTAAAGACAGTATAGATTGTTTAACTACAGCAAGCAATGATACGACAATCAAAGTAGAACCAGTGAAGAGTACAAAGATGAAAATTGACATTACTGATATAGTTAAGGAGAAACCTATAGTGATGAAACCATTTGTTCCTTCAGTTGAAAGTCAAGATGAGACTGACAGGGCTGCGCTGTCAAATGATAAGGTAGTGAAAGCAAAGAATGAAGCCAATGCCAAAGGCGATACTGGTTCTAACTTCAAATTACCATATCAAGAGGGACAGTGGACGCCTTGGAACCAAACAGGGTTCAAGGTCTATGAAAGAGACTTTCTTTTGGCATGTAAGGACTTACCTGCTAGCAGGAAGAAGCCTGATAATATCCCGGATGTTGTGTTAGCAGACGAAAGAGGCATGCCCAGTGATGGCAGGCTTTCAATGGGTGGACGAAATGATTTCTTGAACCCTCCGTTTAACAGCTTTGGTGGCAAATCAGGCTCTCAGAGAGGATCGATGCCAACTAAACGCAATAGTCAGAGTAAGATGGATAACAAGAAGTTATCAAAACCTTCTGTGAAGCTGACTATTTCATTGAAGGAAGACGTCAAATTGCATGAAGTGGAGAATGCATGGAGGCCAGCAAGGTTAGTCAAGGGAGAAGCTGCCTCAGATGAAGACAAGAAAACTGCAGAATTGTATAGGAGAGTACGAGGGGTGTTGAATAAGTTGACTCCTCAGAAATTCGATACTTTGCTGTCACAGATTAAGGGTTTGAAGATTGATACTGCAGAAAGATTGCAAGGTGTTATTGATTTGGTGTTCGAGAAAGCTGTTGATGAGCCTAATTTTTCAGTGGCTTATGCTTTGATGTGCAGGGAGCTTGCGCTTATGCAGGTGCCAACCCCTAATAGTACACCAGAAAACCCAGAGTACGTCAATTTCCGCAAATTGTTGCTAACAAGATGCCAAATGGAATTTGAAAAGCAGTCCGTGGACGAAGGTTTTCGAAATGAGAAACTGAAGCAGATTGAAGAGTGCACTGATCCTGAAAAGAAAAAGGATCTGCAGTTTGAGTTGGAAGATTATGATACGAAACTCCGGAAGAAATCTGTTGGAAATATAAGGTTTATAGGTGAACTCTTTAAGCAGAATATGCTAACTGTGAAAATCATGGTGAGGTGTCTTAATAATCTCATTGATAATAAGGATGAGGAAAGTTTGGAGTGTTTATGTAAATTGTTAACCACTATTGGTAAAGAGTTAGAAACTAAAAATGTCAATCTGTCAAATATATTCACTACAATGAAAAATATAGCAGATAAGAAGGAAGGAAAAGTGAGTAGCAGGATAAGATTCATGCTCCAGGATGTAATAGACTTAAGGAACTCAAAATGGATCCCAAGGAGGCAAGATCACAACCCAAAGACGATAGATCAAATCCAAAAAGAAGCAGATCAAGAACAGATGAACATTCAGATAATGAATTCTGTTCCTGCAACACCCAGAAAAGACGACCGCTCAAATCCGAATACGTTGGACAGAAAAGGTGGAAGGGGCAGAAACAGCTCATCAGATGCTGAGGGCTGGATAACAAATACCAACAGAAGTAGAACCAATCAGTTTACAGTTCAAAGTGATAAGTTGAAGGCAAAGGCTCCATTGAATGATGAACCTTTTGGCAGCTCACAGATGTTTTCGGCGTGGAACAGAGGCTCAGTAGGTTCCACCATGAGATCTCAAGCAGCTCCATTGGGTGGTCCCAACATATACTCTGCTCTAGAAAACTATGAACCCGAGAAGAGGAGTCTAGGCGTCAGTAGGTCAGGAAGCAGAGACCCTTACATTCCAAAAGGTCCAAGCTTAGAGCAGCACAAGTTTGATGGACGTGGCTCCAGATCCGGATCGCAGCATCGATCCATGGAAGGTCCAAGACCAAGTGAGCCTTTGATTGTTCAAAGGAGTGCCCCTTCAGCCCCAGCACCTGCCCCTGCTGTACCCCCTCCTCAAAAGCCACTTGTTACTGAAGTACTTACTGAGGAACAAATGGAGAGGAAGATAAACAATTGTCTTGATGAATTTGTTAATGGAAACTGTAACATTGATGAGTTCTTCCAAGACATTAGCACTTTTGTGCCCCTACCTAAATATCCCATGATGATTAGTGACTGTTATCTAAAGGTGTTAGAGAAATCTTCACAAGCACGATTAGCGACTGGACTGTTGTTTACCAGGTTAGTGAAACAGGGTAATATATCACTGAATGATTATTGTAGTGGCCTCGAGGACATCTTTGCTCAAGTTGATGATCTTAAAATCGATATTCCAAAGATTTGGGATTATTTGGCTGAGATTTTAGTTGAAGGCTTATGCGAGGAAGCACTGCCATTGAATAGATTGCATAAGTCAATAGCTGCATTAATAGAACAGAGACAAGCAACTAATATTCTAGCTCCATTATTTAGATTAGTAGTCAGCAAGAAGGGACCTAATTTCTTACAGCAGATATTCAAAACTTCTGGTTTGCAATTGACTGATTTTATGAATAGCAGCGACGTAGATTCATTTGTGCAAAGTAACCACTTTGAATTTTTGGTTGGCGGTGCTACAACCACTGGACATAGTCAGATGACTTTCGAACAGATTGAAGCCATGTTAGCAGTGTTTTTGAAAAATAAAGCTAACTTTGATGATATAGTGAATTGGATCACTGCTAATGTAGGAGATAGGGTGAAGGAGAACAAATTCATCAGGGCTCTGGCCACAGCGATTTTCCAAGATTCAATAGGTCCCAACTATAAGCTAGTCTCTGAAACGTTAACACACCACAACAACTTGCTGTTGAAGTATGTGGACAACAATCCAAAGTACGAACTTGAATGCCTGTATGCCTTACAAGCACTAGTGAATAAAATGGAGCATCCTCAAGGACTCCTGCTGCAAATATGTGATAAGTTGTATGAATTAGGTAGCTTTTCACAAGAAAGTTTTATTGCATGGGAAAATAGTAAAGATCCTGCTGAACAGGCTGGTAAAGGTGTGGCCCTGAAACAGTTGACTAGTTTCTTCACTCAATTGAAAGAGAACGATGATGATGAATCTTCGGAGTCAGAAATTGCTTAGCAACTGGTATCTTCTTCAGTGATATATATACCTAGTAATCGGGTTGCCTTTCAGCCGACATTTTTTTATTATTGGGCCAACCATTATGGCACTTAACTTTCGTCATACTTTATTATAGATGTCCACTATGTTTTTTGAAAATCTGCAGGGCCGCTGTTTCATCTTTATTGGCTGTATATTTTTCATACATTATCATTGTAATCTGCTACGAAAATTTTTGAAATGATTTTTTGATATATCATATTTATTCGAATATTATAGGTCCTATACAATCATTAGGATTCGAGTACTCATTAAAGGAGAGTATGGTTTCCAGAATAAACTCTCTCATATTATTTTAGTCCATAGTTAGTATCTTATGAAATCTGATTGCTGTAATGTTCTATTATGTGTTTTATCGAATATTTTGTGTTATTGAATAAACTGTTAATAAAGATATTTTTGTAGATAGTATCTCAAATCCTTTTGACACCTATTTTGATTAAAATTATTACACCATCATTAGTAGTGTTAAAAATTAACCTTTGCTATTTTGAAAATTTTAATGAAAAAATTAAATAGTAAAATAATCTTCTCTGGATCTATTTGCAGATATTAAAAAATATTGATATGCTTTTCATGTATATTTGATGCTGCAAAATTAACATGTTTATCAACATTATTAAGGAATCCTAAATAAGAACTTGTACATTACAGTTTATAATCAGTTCGAGCTCTTGAATTACAATGCCGTCCGAAGCACATTATTTTTTTTTTGTCTCATGTTGCAAAAGCTGATCACAGATTACGCGTTTTGTCAATTTTTTGCGTCCATTGTATAACTCAAGATGGGACAATGCACTCTGAATAACCTCAAGATTCTCCAGTTGACTTGAAAAATTGCAAAATTCGCATATTTTCACCTTTTGTAAAAATATGATGTGCTAAACTACAATGTGAAAAGCAGCTCTCTAGATTTTCACAAGTATGTGGCCACATAAAGTTGTGATAACATATGGTGTTAGTTGAGTCTCATAGTGACCCAGATTGTAAGAACATGTAGGCTGGAAAGTAGTCGTATCATCACCCTGTATATTTAATAAATCAAACTAACACAGGTAGAGGGTTAGAACGTCGATTATCGTATTTAAGAAACAGTTTACTGCAGAATAAGACTTCTTATCTATATATGTTATTTACTGATTAAAAAATAGTTCAATCGTCTGGTTGAAAAATCATTAAAAGCTGAGTTTTTAAGTATTTTGCTTTTTGAATGTGAATAGTAAATGTTAACGTACAGGATGAAATTGTGAAGAGAACTTGTCTGTAAATAAGAATAAAATTTTTAATACGGACATGATTGACTTAGTTTCAGGCAATACAAAATTATCTTAATGGTCTATGGTATTCCAAACTGTTTCTGTGTAAACATGCATCAGAAGTTCCATCAAAACTTATCTTTTAAAGAATAAATAAAAAAATTGTGTGTGAAAGTTAAAGACTTGAGTGGAGACAAGCGGATTGAATTTTTTTAAAAAGAATTTTTATGTTTTATGGAAAAAACTTATAATAGGTATTTTTGAAATATAACAAGAAATTTGAAAACTTCAAAATATTGAAATCTCTGTAAAGAAAACTTGTATAATTTCATAGAAACTTTTGAGTTTATATCTCAACAATTAAGTTAGTTTGACACTGCAGATTTCGGCCCATAAAACGTGCTATATTTATACAAAAACATTTTTGTAAGAAAACTTCGGGACATTTGTCTATATTAAGCCCTTTTCTTTGACACCCCAAATTTATTGTTTATATGTTTAAAAATAAACAAGCCTCAGAAGCTTAACTAAACAAATCGGTTTTTGGTTTCGCTCATTTTAGATAATTTTCTCATTGAATGTAATCTCTCACTTTTCAGAGCATATGTTATGTTTGCTATTTATGATTCAAAATCAAAATGTATTTGTAATTGTATTTGTGTAAGATTGAAGTTTTGTAAGTAATGTTGTAAGTAATTTTATGCCAGGCGATTGGACTGGACTATTGAAGGAAATTATTAACTATCAGTCATTATGCCTTTTCGAAAGAAAGGTAAGAAATGAGAATTTTTTAAAATCTTTATATTGTATAAATGTAAATTTATTTGTTTCATTATTAGGGGTGATCTGTTTCATACTCGATTCATTATACACTTGGAACTGTTTTATTTTAGAGAATTTTCTGAAGAACTTTATTACTATCATGTATACAATTTTACTGTACGAATGAAGTATTGTAATATTTTGCGTAACTGTTTCATTTCCTATTATTAAACAATGTTCAGATACGTTCATTGGCAAATTTTTAATAAATATATCCCTATTAGACGTTGTAAGTTGTGTTAAAAATAAGATATAAGTCACTGTCTAAGCAAACATGTAATATAAAGTTAGAATTCATAAAGAATAAGGCTTGGTATGTGAGTTTATTGTGTTTTATTACTCTCTCATTGGCGAATGTATCGTACAGGGTGGCCCAAATTCTGAATAACATCTTACTCATTTTTGATGTGGTCCAATTAACTATTTCGAAAGATTGAAACCATTTGGCAAATACATAAAGGATAATGATTCGCTAAAATATTATGGCATCATCAAGGATGAAGCGTATAGTTGTCCAGAAGTTCTCTAATATTGATTATTTAGGTCATTCATAAATTTATAATTTTTATAGCCTTGCATGCCTAGTTTTGATTTTTCTCTAATTGTATATAATATTGAACGTTGCATATTTTGAGTGTCAAATATATCTTGAAATGGTTAGAGACGTGTCCCTACAAAATGAATATTTTCGGCATATCGTCAAACGGCTATTTTATCTGGTGTACGTCAAAAGTTTTTTCGAAAAATTTCAAGCTAAAATATAATGGGCGCGCTCAGGAAATGACATCTATGTTATAGCTTGATATGTTCAATTTTCTTTCACTTAACTTTCTGTTATGCAATAAATGCGTTTTGGTAAGCTAAATGTATACCGAATCTTTGTATTTTGCTGTCGTAACACAGATGACATCTTAACCAGACACAGAGAGAAGCATACATGTGAAAGAATAAAAATCTGCTATCTTGAGTTGAATAGTTCAATAAAACGGTGTCAAGTATTGTTTAATGCACGCCTTTACCTAAGAAATGGAGTAAAAAAAAAACAGATAAATATCGGTCCGATTACTAGCAACTAACTACATGGAAATTGCGATGCTAACTTTACTGTAGCTTGTCTGACGGTTTTTGTATAAATCATTTTGAAGATTTAAACCTAAATATTCACTTTGAAAGTACACCATGGCGTTCAACCTTTGAATTTCAATGTGTACATATATGTTTTGCACTTTTATGTGTGCTTGTGGTATTTTAATTCAAACAAAATAATTCTATATATTTTTATTGAGGGATTTGAGATCCTATATTTGGAAACTGGTTGTACAGATTCCGTTTTGTGAGGAAATGTACAAGATGCTATTTAGATTTTTAGGTCGGGGATTATATTTTTAGGGGGTTGTTTTAGTGATTTTACTGTTATTTTAAAATTCGTTCATAGATTGAATTATATTTTTGATTACCTTATTTGTTTAATGAAGCTTGGTTGAATGAGTTTGGGACATCCTGTAAGCCATGCTGTTAAACTGATTTGTTGGTTTTAATCTATAAATATGCATTATCGGTAAGAAAAGAACAAAACTAATAAATTAGCTTTTGTACTTGTGTACCTTTCTTGAATTATATATCCCTCCTGAAAAAAGATAGTATTTTGTATCCAAAGCACAATGCCTTGTTCATTTGAGATATCGGGCGTTTTTTGTTGTCTGCGAACAAGAATGTTTCTTCTGACTTGAAGAAGACATTGCGAATAAAACATTACCAGACAAAGAATCTCACCAGTGGATCAGAAGAAATACACAAAAAACCCTGTATAAGAGTATGAGCAATTAAACAAGATAATTGTATTATAGGTAGTTTTAAATAATCCAGGAAAACAAAAAACGACTATTACCTTTTTCGAATAACTGGAAATCTAAAAAAGTAGAGTTGTTCGTTCTTACCTTGTACTTTATTATAATTTTCTGTTCCACTTCTTACCTGTGTTGCATTATAAATTCACGTTCATAATAGACTCTTCCAAAAATATTTTTGTTATCGGACAACAAAAAGATGTAGAGCTCAAAATTGGAGTTTATTCCAATCACCCTTTCTTAGTAATACTTTTTGAAAGTTTAGCGGAAAAACTGCTAGTGACGAAACAACATCTAAAGAGCTATATAGATCAGGTTTTGCAAAAATATTGCTTCGATATAGAGTGCTTTTCAGAACGATCGCTCGCCATTTTGAAGGGTATTGATTTTATATTCTAGGGTCATAAAGTACTCGAAGAGACCCGTTAAAAAAATGTAGGACAGCCTCTTTGAAAAGCATCATATATGATCTACTTGAATTGTGATGAAACATAATCGTTATACAAACAATAAAAAATAACATATATCACTAAAAATGCAGAGGTTTCAATATAAAAATGAACTAATTGAGTGAAATAAATCAAAATTGGATGAAAGAGAAAAGTAGGTATAACATTATACATACTTATACAATGATGGTAATTCATATACTCGTATTATAAGCAGAAGTGAGAGATAACTTATGTTAATTATTGCTCGAAGAAATGTCGCAGTATGTAATTTTTTGAATAATTAATGATTCCCAGATAATTTTTTTAGTTTTGTAATCGAGAATTTGTTTGTTCAAGTATAGCTCTGAAGCACTAAACAACAACTTTTTGTAACATTGTGCTCATGAGGAATAAAATTCAGACATTCATCTAGAGATATGCCTAGATTTTTAATAGTTCCACATACTTTTATAATTTCACCATTTAATGATATAGCCGAATATTTCTTAATGTTATTTATAAATTTTTAGGAGAGAATATAAGTACTTTTGATTTTTCTGGATTTAATCTAAGATTATGAATTTTTGCATACTTGTCGATAGATCTCAAATCCTCATTAATTTGAGCCTCAGCAATTATTATATTGTCAGCATTAAATTATTGTACAATTGCGAGTCATTCGCAAAAAACAATATTGCAGTGTTTAACAAACTGATCAAGATCGGATATATAAAATAAGAAATAATAGTTTAAAAAAACTGACAAAAACCCGCTTTTATAGCAAACCGAACTAAAAAGTAGAAAATAAATTCCAGTAGTAGATGGTCGAAGAGTCAATCATAATTAATGACCTCAAAATAAAATTATACGTATAATAAAATTTGAGTTATTAACAGAATAATTCAATTCAGAGTAAAAAGCGTGGGGTGCATTCTCATAACACTACTCACATAGATAGTTGTCAATAGAATGATGGTGACATTCAATTTAATACATCAAGCACCTCACTACTGTAATATAAACTCCTTGTAATTAAAAATTATTTTCTACTTCCTAGTTCGGTTAGCTATAACAGCGTGATTTTTTTTTATAGTTTTTTAAACTATTATTTATTTTTCATTTTTTAGTTCGATTTATCGATTAGTTTTTTGTGGACATGTGGTATTGAAATGTCTTACGAATCACTTCGTATTCTGATCATTTCGTTTAAAGCTTCAATATTGCATGGGGTGTATCCTGTTAGCTTAGAGCAATCAAGTTCTTCAATCCGAATACGGTCTAAAGAGCTTACACGACGAAGTGCCTACATAAGCTTCTCCAGCAGCAAACAGTCGCTGGCCTAGATAAATGACAGCATGATCGACTGTACAACCTTGCATCCTGAGGACGGTAGAAGCCCAACTCAGGATTAATCGCCACATTTGCAAAGAAAAAGGTGAGAATGCACTGCTTTGAAAAAGTATCTGCCTCCGCTGTGCTGTACAGCCTCGCATCTTGTGGACGGTCGAAACCCAACTTAGGATTAATGGCGACATTCGCAATGAACATGGTGAGAATGCACTATCTTGAAAAAGTATCTGGCTCCGTTGTACTCTGCCGAGGGCCCAAACCAACAAGGAGTAAGTCCAAAACTGCACACATGCGCAGATCGCCCGCTACCTCTATCTCTCTTAGTCCCCTACAGAGGATCTACAAAATAATTTATAAAACCTGGCGGTCCTAATAAGGATAATGGAAAAGTGTTACCAATTATTGCATTGTCTTCAGTCCTTGATACGAGTGCAAAGTTTCATGTTAATCAAATTTATGGATATTGGTGAAAATTATGCTCAAAGATTCAGCTACATACATACAAGAACCGACCCCTGACGATGATATTAAGCCTCAGAAGTGTTCATATGGATGACAACTCTTTGCGACCTGTTTCTTAAAAAGCCATAGATTAGAGCAACTGATGATTCAGAGAAACTATAAAATTTACATTTGGCTATTAGAAAAGAATGTTTAGTGGTGCCAAATACTTTAAAAAAATCTAAAAGAGTTTGGTTATCCCAAGTTCTGACATACTATATCTGACTTAGATTATTTCTATAGGAGTTTCAAATGGTTGGCTAAGTAGAAAAATTCTCCTTTGAATTGTGAACTGTATTAACAATAAGTTTTACAGTCTTTATTAGATCTGAGTAAGCCTTGCAGAGTACAATAACTGAATTACAAAATTACGATCTAAATATTTCTACAACAATGGAGTACACTGTTTCACATCTGTGGCGGTTTAAGGATTCTGATTCGTGGTTAACCTTCAAGAAGATTGCGAGTAGTTAGAGATAGACACGGCTTTTCAATCGCAAGTAAAGTTTCAAGTCCGTTAACTATTACCTGGTAGATAACTTTAAGTTGCTTGAAAAATCCTTTTTCAGGTTCGGGTTGATGGGGCAATGAAGCGTCTGAAGTATCTTGTTCTGTGAGTGATAGTCGAATATCCGTGACAATTTGTGCAATCGTCGAGGAAAATAGGTTCGGTATTGCGGTTCAACTATCTATTCCACCATACGTGAACCTCAGGTTAAAGTTAACTACCGCTTAGGGAAAACCTGATATTGCAAATGTTTTCTTGAGGTTTACATAATTTCTGGTTGTCAGCGAAATCACAGTTAACCTGCGTTTGAAAAACCGAGCCTAGAAGTGTGACTAGAAAGGTGAAATGTTACCACTATAATGGATATTATTTTAAATACTCCTTCCGAGGTTCTGATTTTTCAACTGCGGTCTTTTCCTTAGTGTAAGACGAATTTATTAGGCAAGATTAAACAAATACTATACGTTATACAAGTGAAACATCATCAGGTGTGTAAATGGCAACAGTGGCTCCGTCATAAATTAATACCAGCCAGTGTTGCCATTCATACTTTTTGTGAAGGTAGTGTTCGTGGTAAAATTATGTGTGAATGTTATCATAATCAATTTTAAAGCAGGTTTTATTCCCATATTCTGGACATTGTTTTCCATATCACATTGTTTGTGCTATTATCACATAATTAACATTTCCTTTTGCTGGCACTACATAGTATTACTAATGGTAACCCTCATTGACGTCTCGCGTAACCCTCAACTTGGGGTAAATTATTAGTACAAGGCCATTAAATAAATATTAACATAAATAATCTGTATTGTCTCGTTCATAACAATTTAACTATTACTGGAATATGCAGTAATGACCTAATTTGAGCAAGTAATTCAGTATCTCAAGCTTTCAGTTGCGTCAAATTAGTATACCGTATGTAACGACACAACCTAACCATCATAGGAAATGCAAATGGAAATATTGGCTAAATGTTGTCCACCTAACAGGTACATCTTTGGCCGCCGTGTTCGGTGCCAGTGTTCCTATTTACAATAGTTTTTTTTACGAAAATGATCATTGTATAATATTAGTGGTAACATGCTCATACTGTATGTGAAAGCTTGGGACTATTTTTGTTGCAATTTTTGGTCGTGAAAAACTAGGCTTTTTTGACATCGCACTCAAACAGGGTGATTCTGGAAAATGAGACAATATTTCTAGTAGAAAGAACATCTATAAATAACTAATAACAACTAAAAAGTTTCTAGAAATATAGGTCCTAAATGTCCCATTACAAAGATATACAGAAAATGTCTATTCCACCGATGAGACTGAATAAGGACAAACCATGAACATTGTTCAAATAATGCTATCATGAGATATTATTCTCATAATATATAAGACAATTTTCAATCAAACTTCACTAACTTCAGCGTATTTTCAAAGTATAAGTTTCAAGTTCTTTATAAACATTTTACCTCATAATAATTCTCCAAATGGAGTAGTTTGACAAAAATTTGTCAGGAGAGGCGATTCTTGTGAAAATAAATAACCTATTTTAAAATGGAATAACCGCTTAAAAGGTCATGGGCTTAGAGAATATTCGCCACTGGTGTAGTCTCGGGCACTATCTACTTTATGCCCTAAAAATATTGCCACTGTACATAATATGAAAATGAACTTCAGAATCGACCACTGCTAGAGTCATCAAGCTGTTTCTTGGAACTGTATTCCAATTGGCAGCCGGGTCATCATTGTGGCCGTTAAGTGCTGCCGATTCTGGTGGTTTAGTAGATACGGTCTACTCGCCATTGAATAAGTTAGCAATATAGCTTTCGTAAGCTCGTAAACAGAGAGAAAATCATGCTTTTTGGCAACTCATCAGAATGGTCTGGGCTTTGTTCCACGCAGGACAACGAACGAAAGCTACTAGGCAGCTTGCTGTATTCTGGTAATAGATGACACTTTATGCTGTTGTATTTCGATAGACCTGAATATTCTGGATTGAGGATAGTTGCTCAGGTTTCGTTCCTGGTCCTACGTGGGACCAAGCCTAGATCATGCTGATGAGCTGCGAAAAAGCACGAAACAGATGTCCAGGGTTGGCCGTCTATGGTCGGACGGATGAAAGCTGTATAACTAATTGGACTTCAGGTGTCACCTAGAATAAACTCATAGCTTGATCCTGTATCGTAAATTTTACATGGTAGTCTCATTTCTTTTTAAATATATGGCATCCGATCATTTTATTACTAGTTTATTATTAACAAAGTTCTTCCATTACAATGTAAGGTCAAATGCAAAATGGTTAAGGTTAAAACTAAACAAGACATACAAAATTACACAGTAGTAATTATAGTGTAAGCAGGAGGAGATGAACTTATAGGCGGTGAAGTGGCAGCAGTTTGGGTAGCAGCAGTTGTGTTGGAGGATACTGGAATCGTTGAGTCTTTTATAACTTCGTCGTACTTTGGTGGTGGGCATACATCTAAAAGTTAGAAGGAAATCACATTTTGTTAATATTCTATGCACTTAAGCAACGCCTGTGAGGAGCAATTGCCTTTACAACAAAAACAATGAAAATCGGATATAGGTCTAGGAGGAGGTGCGTTCTTCACGATTTAGGTCCAGGAAAATAATTTCACCCTAAGATACCGCAATATATACAATTTTCTTGGAAAAAATACAGAGTTATTGAACGTCCAATAAAGTCAGGCACTAATAATTTCTCGTCGTATTTGACGTCTGAGCAGGCGCAGTAAAACAAAAATAATACTTGGAATTAATAAAGTTGGTGCCTTCCACTACTACAGGATGCTTAAAATCGTGTCACAGCCAAGACTATTCTCCTCATTTTTGAGCGAATAAGCTTAGCCTTTATAGTAGTTTTCGCAGATGAAAGAAATTATATTAGGAAAGTAGTATCCTTTGCCATTTTCTCGCTATTATTTTGTACTGTTCGCTGATTTGTCGGCATGTCAACTTACGAGCTATCACAGAAGCTCATGAGTGACAATGTGAATTCACTATACATGCAACTGTACTTAAGCAAAGAAGGGTATGTGTTTGAAAACAGTCACAGAGTCCTACCAGCGACGACAACCTCTAAAAAATAAGGTTGTATTAACGCCAGCTCAAGTTGGGGTTAATAAAACGTGCGTTTGGTGGAATTTCCGTTGCCAACGCAAGTGATACTGATGTCACATTTAGGGATATTCGATTTATGTACTTCTACCGGTGTTGGTGGTTATATTCAATATAAAAAGGTCTACAAAAATTATAGAGCCTAAAAGCATGTGGACAAATGATAAATTTCTTGATTCTATAGTTATTCAATACATCAGTTTAGATTATCACACTTTTGTGCGTTCGTGATAGTTCATAAATTCAAACTTCTAACGATGAAACAATATGTTTCCGTATTTATTCGTATATAATGCTTGCGTGGTTTAGCAAGAAAGCGCGATGAGAGGCTGACTACATATTGACGTTTTGGGTTTTAGGATTTTTGCTGTTTCAGCTATTCAGCACAAAGAAGGGCGTATACTCATGCATATCTTGAGCTGTCAAGCTAGCAACAGTGTGCAGATAGATTCCGTTAGTATTTTTTTCATATTCTGTGTGTATCTGTAGAAAATTGTTTGGACTTGAATCAAAAACTTGGAAAGCCAGAATATACGTGATATGTGGTACCAAAAGATGATTATGAGCACAGATCACGCGAGCTTGATGTTTTGATGTCATGTGCCAAAACACACATAAAAGCTGTAGTCTTCTAACGCTACCGCTGACAATTTACCTCAATCAGCTTCCGCAGTTAGGGTTGCCATCTCCTAAAATACAAAAGTCCGACTTGACGCTGCTTTTGGCCGAACGTTTGGCTCTCAAAGCCCGACATTATCTTCTTTAATAGCCAAGCAGAACTCTTATAAATTGAGTGAGGTGGTTACTATATCAAGGTCGCACTCGCCGTAACTCTTTAGGGTCTCGTAGAGCAAGGTTTTAACTTAAATTCAGATACTTGGCGGCCCGAGAAATTATGATTTTTAACATGGCTTTAAATCATTGAATATAACGCTTTTTTAGGTTTTTTTCAGCCATTAAATCGCTTCGACAAGTTGGACGGCCCTCACCTCAACAGCATCGAGCCTTGTACAGAGTGGGGAGGTTATGTGGAGAACAGTAGTTCTTAGCGCTCATAGGTTTCTTCCAGCAGCTGCCGTGATTGACGAGATGTGTCCGTGCCATATTAAGCCCTCGATGCTCGGGACTCCGATCTCCGAAAGGAATGGCTCTTAGGTAGAACTTGGCCGTCGAATCCGGATGAGCGCTAAGGTTCTTCTGGATCGTCAAGAGGTGCAGTACTGCAGTGATAACCTGCAGGGCTCTCGCCGCTGCTAGTCCTCTTTTCTCCAGCTCATCGGCAGCGATTGGCTTTGCAATCTGAAGAATGCTTTCATTAGCAAAGCGATCTCTTGGAAACACTCGCGTTGACATTGTAGGCTGAAGAGGAGAACCCGTCAATTACGAAGGATATCTTGCAGCCTGAGAGGCAGTTAGCCACCCATCTGCAAAAGCTTTTCTGGGAGGTTGTAGGATGGAAGCATGCATAAGAGGGCAGCATGCCACAGCTGATCGAACACTCTCGTGATATCAAGAGCAACGACATGAGCCTCACCATAAGACAGCTGCGTGACGTAAGGTAGGAGATCCCTGTATATCGTTGGTACCGGAAACCATACTGAATGTCGCTAATCGAGCCGTAACGTTCGAGATACTCCCCATTTATGTACCTCTGGATGACCTTACAACCTTACTTATATCAGAAAGCAAAGGTAAATGTCAGTACTTGTGAGGATCGGTATCAGATCCTTTTTTTGACGGGTCCAATTCGATGCGCCTGCACAAAATATCTTTTTTTAAGGGTAAATGTCCGGGGAAATATATGTGTGAAAGATGTGTAATATGTGCGAAAAAATACTAGAATCGAAAATGTATAAATGTATATATTAACATCAAAAAATTAATAATTGTAACAATTAAAATCCTAGCTGAACCTTGAAAGTTATAGTCAGGCCAAGGAAAATCGGACAGACAAGCCGACTGAAATGCGGCACATGGATTTTCGTGATTTAGATGTTTTACATATAACATCCAAGAAGAATAATACCTCATTTTCGAATTTTCCGCAGTAACAATACTTCCTCGCAAGTGGCGTATGGAGTAAAAAGAAATTACATCTAAGTAGGTCGCAGAATATTGATATTCCGATGAAAGGAAAAATCCTCAGTGCGCTCCTTGGGCACTAGGAGTTGGAGAAACACTTATGCCATTGAAGATTGTTTTAAAATACTCTTGCTGCTGTATAAATACATAGAAAAATATATTTTTGTATTGTTAAATAATTCAACTTACAAATATAAGGAGGTGGAGCTTCTGGAAATATCCCCGATTCATTGTGTATATCTGCTATGTAGGCTGAATTTACATAGACACTATCAATAGTAGCTCTTCGGGCAGCATCTTCATGCCTCCTGGCCAAACGTTCTGCAATAAATCGAACTATTATAGAAATATGGGTGAGTAGCTGAGTACTACCAGTATAAACACTAGTGGTACTAAAACGGGAGAGAGTTGCAGAACCCATCGAACGCCACTGTTAACACAGCGTGTCTGTGAGTACGACAGGATTCGCACGCACCGACTTTAGAGAGTTTTTAGTGCTCTTATTTTGCTGTTTCGTTATCATCTTGTGCAGTAGGGAGACTATCCTCCGTTATCCGTTACCGAAATTTCCGCTAGTTGCGGAGGAGAATATGGTACGGCTAATTTTGTAAGGTTATTCAGCGCTGTTTCCGGAATTTGTAAAGCTGGATAAGCTTAATTAAAACAATTTCAAGCTTTTAAAAGACATTGCTTAAATTATGATTGAAATATTCAATGTGGCAAGGTAGCCTTTTATTGTAGTCCTGCTGATTTTGTGATCACTTGCCATTCTGAGGTTCTATGATTCTAAGCCTTTCAGTGAAAAAATTTGGCAAGGTTTTGAAATGTTGGGGTTAGCTTCACGTAAAAATCTAAAAAATAAGCAACCCCTGTCAGTGTCGAATTACCACGGTTCAGCTTAGTGGTCATGATAATCATTTTTGTCGACATTGGTTAGTTGTTGTTACTCTCAAAAATAACGCAAGCGAAGGCTTAACGAAACGTTATTTTTTTAGAACTAAAAACTCTCGTTTGCGTAAACAAATGCACGCCGAGCAGGCAGAAGAGTACGATGTGTTATGATACTGGCTTCCGTTTAAGTAAATAAATTCAAATTCAAATACATTTATTTGCAAATAAAACATTATTTTATCGTGTTATACAAAATACACTCAAATGATAATATTTTTGACAAAAAGGACAGTTTCTCGATCACAAGTGACCGTTAACACCCAGGCTTCACATAAGTAGGGTAGGTGTGAAGATGCAATGTTTTACACTAATTTTACACAAACTAAATTTCATTGCATGTGCTCTATATGATACAATATTTAGGAATTTCATGATTTAAGTTATTATAAGATAAATGTGAAAAAGTAAATTTTACAACACGTATCCGTGCACAATCACACTCTTTATTGTATTGTTGGTCCTGAAGCAGCATCGCCATTATATACTTTGAGAACACTCTTTGTGACATTTGTTTTATATTATTACTTAGACTGTTCCACATTTGAACTGCAAGAAATGAAAAAGATCGTTGAAATGCTGCAGACCTATGTCGAGGAATAATAAAAAAAAATGGTTATGACTTGTTCCGTAATCATGATTAAAAGCTAAAAGTACATTTTTCAAATACGGAGGTTTTTCTGATTTTATAACTCTATAAACGAAATTAAATAAATGGTTTCCTGCGATTTAGCATATTAGGTATGTTAAATGAAAATCGCATGCAGGCGTTCTGCACTTTCTGTATCGTACGTTTAATAGTATACGCCAACGAGCTCCCATAAACTATATCCCCAGAGTCAAAAAGGGACAATACGAGATTCTGACAAAGGAAATACTTTTGCTTAGGCAGTAAGTTTTTTTTTAGTTTGGAGATATTTTTCAATCGTATGTAAGCTTCCGTAATTTTTTTCTTAATGTGTGGTTCAAATAATAATGCATTATCGAAGATTACGCCTGGATTCCTTGCTTCGTGAACAATGTTTATACGGTCAATATTTCTCCTAAGTGTGAAATTAGGTCCCAAAATTAAATCTTTTGATTTAGAAGCATTAAGTTTTAAATTATGGCGCATGGCAAAACTGTTTACCTCTACCAGGTCAGAATTAATGTGATTTTCGGTTGTGCCCAAATTATCGTTATTGATAGCAATACAAAGTTGTGAGTCATCGGCATACGGATGAAGCCTTGCATAGTAAAGATAAGGCGAAGACAACTCGGTACTCGACTGGAAAAGAATTTTCCATCCATAATGACCTTCTTGAGAAGAAGAGCTAACATCGTCCCAAAGAAAAATTCACAAAAATGGTTTTGAGTTAAAATCCAATTACAAAAGGCAAAAAACGCCATTTTTGATCGCTAGAAAATCGAAAAGATCATATTTAATATTATCAGGGGCATAAATCAAAATTCTAAAATCTCAATTGTAAAAAGATCATCGTTGGGACCGAAGTATCATACAATAAAGAGGATTTTAAACATATATGTGGTTTTTGATTCTGATATTAATTTAAAAAATTGTTAATCATCTTCTCGTTGATTTTTATCCCTGGAATGATTAACTTTTACAGTCCGTCATTTTGTTTATAGACAATCTGACAGCAGTTGAATAGGATTTTTCAAATTTTGGTTCAAGCATTTGATGACCTCAAAAAGTTTTAAATTAAATAGAATAGAGATGTTATCTTAAGAATAAATGAAATAATAAACAGAACTAATGGTAGGAAAAGTGTAAATGTTTCATGCCTGTCTGTTGACTTGTCTGAAATACATAGATAGGAGCATTTGGTTTTTCCCGATTTTCGTGTAAACCTTTTGTTAGATGAGATGTAAGAGGATTAAATCCTGCCCAGGTAGCTCCACAAAGGTTCACCAACACACGTAACCCCAGACCAGGTAGATAAGTATTTTGCATTTTGCTCTAACACGATTTCGATAGCATAATTTCGTAGTAATATTGAGAGCATGGTCAGATATACTGACCGAGAAGAGTCAGACCTTATTTAATCTTAAGCTTAAGACTTTAGATACTAGGTATGAAGCCTGCTTTTTTGCCTTTCAGAATATTTTCATCAATTTAAAATGCAAAAATAAAATATAGCGATCGTGATCAAGGATCTTTCAAATTCGACCCTCACCATTGGGTTCTCGGTAACTGTAAGGGATACGAAGTTTCTTAAATGGGAGTAAAGTTGCGTATTTAGAAAATAAACTTAATGCCGCTTAGAAAGTTTCAAAATTCAAACTACTTCCGGAGAGAGATGGGAAAGACACATGTTTGTCCACAATTAACGGACAACATTTTGAACATCTGCTATGATTTACCTCTGCTTATTTATGATTATTATTGTTATTACTATCAATAAAATTTTCATTTTGGGCAACCAAGGAAATACATTACTAAATTTAGAACTGAAAAGTCCATTATACAAAATCCATATGATAAAATAAAGTTAGTGTTGGGAGTCGAAAGAAGAAATATCGAATTGAAAATTTGACTACGCCATCTTGTAGAGGAGAATAAGTAACAATGACAACATGCAATTTATTTTGGAATCCCATCTCAAATAAAGCTAAAAAAATAATAAAAGTGATTTTGGGATAAATCTGTTACTCTCTGATAATTTCAGACCTACCATATTGAAACTATAAATATGCCTTCTTACGAATGAAGTCAGGAAAATTATTAAAACGATTTTGGGAAAATTAATTTCTTTCCGTCTCTCTGCAGGAGTGCTTTACCTCCATTTAAGCGACTTCGTATCTCTTACCGTTTCCGAGAGCCTAAGTTGAAACACCCGGTATATTTTGCTTCAGCGCTGTAAAAATGACCATATTTGCATTTTTTTAAGCATTGACCTTCCTTAACAAGAAATCGCTCAAGTGTAGGTAAAATTTACAAAGGATTTTTCTTATCTAGATGAGCGAAAGTATCAAAAAAATTGAGTTCAGTTAAAGTGTTAAATTTTAATTCCTTTCTTGTGGGTGACGTTTTGGCCGATGTTCAGTTCAGTTAGTTTATCACAGAATCACAGAAGTAATTTTGGAAAGAAACCTGGTTTTCGTGCCTTGTCTGAAATACATACATAGATTAAAAGATAATTAATGTTGTCCAAATTTACATAAAACTATTTGTTAGGGAAGATAAGGTTGTATTTAGGCCTTCAGGTAGCTTCCAGAGGTTCGTAAATATGCAGTCTCAGCCCATATCAGGTTGACAAGAATATGTTTTGCATTTAGTTGGTACTATCTTCAGAGCAGGGTTGCCAGATCGGCTGCCTATATTAACGAGTGATTCTTTGTTTTCTTATAAATAAACCCGGCACTTGTATTACCTAGCTTATCGATTTTTTATGACATTATGCAGGTTTTCCTTTAAAAAGTAACCTTTGAACTAACATAGCTGACTTTGGGGTGGTCAGCAGAGAAAGCCGGGATATTTGGACTATATTTTGTCGGTAATACGGACATCCGCTTTACGTAACTCAAAAAGGAGTGGCATTATAACAATATTTTATGACATTATGTAGGTTTCAATATAAAATGTCACCATTGAACTGGTTGACAAACACTTCACGCTCACAGCAGCTACCGAGGCCCGTATCGTCAGTCGTCCCTACAATTGTAGGGCGCGTTTATAGCCTCCTTGATTGTCATGCTCCTTTCTCTCCTTCAAAAATTTCTAGATTACACTTGTCCCGTGTCAGCGTCAGCGCTCTCCTATTGTGAAGATATGTTTTCTTTTTAAATTGTAGGAAATTTCAGGCTGATAAAACATGATATAACTCAAAAGCAAGCACAATTTGATGCAAATAGATGTTTGTGACATAACCTCAAAATAGAGTTCTGACACGGAGAAGTAGAAAAGTATGACAATCAAGGAGGCCATAAATGCGCCCTACAATTGTAGGGACGACCGACGATACGGGCCCGAGTGGACAAGTTGACATTTTACGGATTTCTTTCTGACGATACAACTAACTGACAACATGCCTAACCTAGAATTTGACAACAGACGACGCAAAACTCAAAAATACCAAAACTGACACACTAGCTGTCTGTGACCTACTAGACTATACAGGGTGTTACAATAGTATTCCTGTATCAACATCACCCCGAATTTCGGATTGCTAACTTGACTTGTTAAAAAAACTGGTATGATGGCCTTTTTGAAAAGTATTGCATGTATTGTTAGTATCTCTAGGATTTAAGCAAAAATAACAAATGTATCTTAAACAGATTGCTGCTGAAACGGAGTGTTACAACATTGATTTAATACCGGTCTTTGCCATTTGACCCTCACCATTGGAAACCTGTAAGAGATACGAAATCGCTTGAATGGGGACAAAGTTGCGTATTTTTAGGTAACCTAACAAATGCCGCTTAGAAACTTTCGAAATTCAATGTACTTACGGGAAGAGATGAAAAAACCGAATTTTTGCAAAATTGTTTTATTTTTTTCTGACTTTAGTTGTAGTGGTATTACAAAATAAAATCCACAACAATATTACCACTTTTTCTCCTCATCAAGATGGCATAATTGGAATTTCAATATGACGTTTTATCTCTTGACCTCCAGCATAAACTTTATTTTTCCCTAACGACGCCGCATTAGATTTTTGCACCACTGAATAAGAGTTTTTAATTCCGATTCCAGAAATGTATAATACGTCATACATTGATGTTACCAAATGTTAGTTATTTAAAAAAACAGAATTGCCTAGGTAGGCCTTGCCACTTTTTCTCTTCTTCAAGGATTTCAATACAAAGTTTCGTCTCTTGGACTCCAGTACTGACTACCTATATTTTTATAATATGTCATTGTCAAACCTTAGTTGTTCCAGGAAAACAGAAGTTAGGTGGGCCTTGGAATTATCAGATTTCATTTGCTACCAGTACTCATAGCAACTGAGTTTGGAAGGCTGAGAAGAAGAGAAATTAATCGAGTAGTGAACAATGTTCAGAAATAAGGTTTCCTACAGAATAACGGACATTTTGAACATCTGCTATGATTTACCTCTGCTTATTTATGATTACTGTAGTAATAACAATCATTATTGATAGTAATAAATTAGTAAATTTATTGATGGAAATAATTATCAATAAACTTTTCATTTTCTTTTTAGGTTTCACTATAAATTTTATTTCCTTATAGTTTTCATCCAACAGCAAACTCATGGCCAACTGAACTTAGGACCTAAAAGTTCATTTAAATGTATAAAATTTCAATATACCGTCCATACGAAAAAACAAAGTTGGTGATGGCAGTTGAATAAAAACAAAGACAATATGCAGTTTATTTTGAAATGTTAGTGTGCAATTGATTTTGACAAATAAAGTCAGGAACGGCTTTGAGAAAATTCGTTTTTTCCGCCTCTATCCTGAGGTACTTTGAATCACAGTGGTGACCGTATAACTTGAAACATATACAGGGTGGCCCATCCATCTGTGGACAGAATATTACTGATAAACAAATACATTTTGGGAAAATCTATTTATGGGATGATATACATGACATTTGAGGGCATATTTCTAAAATATTGGCCATTATACATATATTAAACTTGCACAAATATACAGTGTGATGCATTTGAAATTTTTGAGAAAAAGTACAATTTGCGTTTTTGACCACCCTGTATGAGCAAAAATGAAAATTCGGAAAAGGTACAAATAAGATAAAAGCTGAGGTGTGTAAGTTTTTTTTGGTACAAAATTCAGCACTCCATATCTCAAAATGGCGGATTGAGGGGTTGCCAAGGTGGACAGTTTTTCAGGAAAAAACACCTTACATCTCAGCAGCTAATTACCAAAACCCCATAGTATGTTATACCAATCTTTTTCTTTTGAATTGGTTTATCCAAATATGCAATAAGATTTGAGGCATTCCATTCAAAAAATCACAACTTTGATATGTAGGTCAAAATTGGGACACATTGTATAATTGCCAATATTTTAGAAATGTGCCCTCAAATGTCGTGTATCACATGCCATGAATAGATTCTTCCAAAATGTATTTGTTTATGAGTAATATTCCGTCCACACATTGATGGGCCACCCTGTATATGCCAAAACGATGAACCAGCCATTCACCAGTTGCTCGTTTTTTTACAATAAACAACATCGCATGCATGCATGCATGTTAAGATTGCGCTAGTTTCTGATTATCAAAATTTTACATCTGACAGATCGCTTGATATAATACGAGGTCTGCTCAAAAAATAGCCGAACATTTAAAAAATCAGCAACAATAATAAGAAAATAAGTTAGACTCGCACAGCGACACAACTTAGCAGGCTATAAGTATTCGCAAGCAACGGCATACAGACGAATTGAATGAGAAAGTGTCTTATTTTTTGAAACACACCTAAAATGATAGACTAAGGAAAGTGAAGTACAGCGCTGATTTTTTTCAATATCACAAAAAATGACAAAGTTACGCTACCTAGAAGTTTTTTATTTGGAGAATTATCTTATTCAAGAGTGATACGGAGTTATGACGCCACATGATTACAACTACCATCTCTACCACAAAACGATGCGGCCGTATTTACGATTTACCTTCAGCATGGGTCGAACGTCGACTTACAAATACCGTATTGTGCCTAGATGTACAAATATAGGCATATCAGCTCCAGAAAAACATATTTACTTGTGTCAAGACATAGAAGAATTAAAAGGAAGTAGTGCAGGTTAATAAACAGGGACGATAAGTTTGCCTCCTTCTACTAATGTAAATATCATTTTGATGTTAGTAGGTACTTAGTTAATATGGTAAAAGGATCAAAATAGATATTAGTGCATGTACCTATTAGGTGTATGATGGATAAATAACATAATAGATGTAAACAAGAACGGGGATAGATTTGATTATTGCTTTCAGTTCGAGATAATGTTGTGGCTGGAGGAGAAATACTCATTGAACTGCGTCTTTGTCAACGTAAAGATGCATAGGCGTGGCTTAGGAACCAAAAAGACCTGGCCAAATTGGAAACAAATAAAAAATCGGTTAGTGTTACGTTTTAATCAGCTATATTCAGAAGTGGCAAAATGGATTGCGGAGTCGAGCAATTCTGATAACGCATTGTATTAATTGCCACGTGACTATACGATAATAATATGTAAATGATATGTTTCCGTAATTAGGGAATACAAAAAGAGTTGTTTCTCAAACACCTAGGTAAGGAATATGACAATTTTGGCTGCAACTGACTGTAAGGTTGGCAATTACGCCACATTATACAATAATACATAAATTATACCTTGAAAGCGCATGAATCTATAATTTGAGCGCAATCAACACATTTTTGCAAACATAGTCGTCATACTGGATTCGTCATTTAGATTTTTTTAAAATCGATATGAAAGGTCCTGCAGAAAAAGAAAAATTTCGCAAATTTGATGTTTCGTAGTTAGAACCGGCAACATGTAGTCTTAATGCAGTATAATCCCATTAGGTATCGAAAACACGCAAAAACAATGATAGTTATACTGGGAAAGATAGATGAATGTGACAGTCGCTATATGAAAAAAAGATGGACGTCCACTGATCGTCACCGGAACTAGTAGCTACTACAACAATTTACCATACACCAATCAGCGACGAAGGAAATCAACGCTAAGAAATCATTTTTAAGCAGCTACCTTTAATTTTCTTTTATTTGTTTTGGGTTCAATGTTTTTTTCTTGTCCCATTGAAAAAATACTTAGAAGTAATTCTGATTGAGCTATTGAGGTCAGAAAATCTCATGTTCTAGGCCCTGAGTAATAAATTTCCTGTTAAGGTTGTTCTCATATTACAACAGATTGTAAAACCTAAGATAGGCATTTTGTTGGTTAATCAACCCTTAGATTTTACAGGGTGCCGCATATGACGAATGGGTCATTTCTAATCTCAATATCTCAAAAAAGTTTAAATCAGACATAGACACTAACACATAAAAATGTTTAAAATCGTAAGGAGAATCTCAAAATACAAAAATAAGAAAGATTTTCCATTAAAAGAAACGTTTGGTCTGCTTTCACTTTTGGTCTACCCTCTATATAAAAAATAATAATTTATAATTAAACTTTTTTCAATTCCTTATAATAAGGAATCTATGGTACTCCATCATATCTTTGACCCATCCTGTACAACGAATCGATGAGTCCTCAAACTTTTAAATTCACTTTTCTCAAAACTTTTTGTGACATTCTTTTTCTTTCTCCTGTATCTTTCATATTTAATTCGTTTTTAGCGATCTTAAAAATGAGTGAAACACTATTTCTATTTTTGAACAATCGATATTTTAGCGTTTTTCTGAGTTCCTTTGGGTGTGGATTCCACAAAAAGAAATGCACTAATTTATTTAACTTGATAGAACATGTATATACACCACTATTTATGTCTGACTAATTCTTATGTCATTGACTGCACATCCACTCCACTCTGCTCTGGTGTAATCTGTACTCCGCTTCCATCTCCCGGCTACCGAGTTATATATAATCCCCATTGCTGTTTCGAGAAAGGTCTGGTGAACCACAAAGCGCCATCTAAAATATTGGAGGTCACTTCGCGTCGATCTAGAAGGCGATCCACTGTCACAGTCCTCACAGACGCCGCCAAGCGGCTTGTGCGGTCATGGTTCGCGTGAAAGCAGAGATCGGCCCTGAAGGTCTGGCGAGTAGGAGACTCGCCCAACAGATGGCGCCAACAGTACTATATGTCGCAATATCAAGCACGTTTGAACTCAAAACCTTTTTTGAAAGAGGTACACATTAAATACACCAGTTTGGTCTTTGACAACTGGATATCATAATCGTTATCACAGATCCAGAAAAGGTAGAAACGGAGTTTTTTGTGAAAAGTGAGCCTTCTTAATTTTGGCCATATTTTAGAACTTTCGAACCACTAACTATAATTACTTTTATTATGTGCACGTTTGGAAGATTGGTGGAGTCGGCAACGAAATGTCATCTTGCAGACTAAGTAGTACGAGGGATGTCTTTTAAGTTTTGCATATGGAAATAAAACAACACGGTAGGTAGTTTTAAATGACTTTATTGTTTTTCGAAGTATTCTCCACGCAGATTAATACACATCTGCATGCGCTCGAACCAATTTTCGAAGCACTTATCCCACTCGTTTGCTGGCAGATTCAAAACGGCATTTTTGAATGCGTCAACTGCTTCTTCTGGTGAGTGGAACCTATGACCACGCAGTCTGTTTTTAATTTTCTGGAAAGTAAAGAAATCGTTAGGACTTAGATCGGGAGTATATGGAGGATGGTCCAATAATTCCACGTTTTCTTCCGTTAAATACTGACTTGTTTTTTGGGCTGTGTGCGAGCTTGCCTTGCATTGTCGTGGTGGAGGATTCTTCTTTCGGGGTTGATTTTTCGAAGCTCGGTGATGACGTTTGGCAAACAAATGATGGTATACCATTACTCATTAAGACGAATTGCGGCAATATGACCCGCTTTTGACACAAATGTCGTGACCATCACTTCGAGAACGGATGACTTTTGTTGGCTTTTCTTCACCTTGGAACACCCAAACAGCCGAATGTCGTTTATTTTCTGGTTCATAACAGTAAATCCACGATTCATCACCACTAACAAAGCTGTACACATTTTTTGAGTTTCCGGAATTGAAACGGTGAAGCGTTTTTTGACACCAGTTAACCCTGGCTGCTTTCTGCTCTTCAGTCAACAGGTGGGGTATCCAAAAAGAAACTAATTTTCTTACTCCTAATTCTTCATGTAAAATTTTTTGAATTGAGGTCTTTGAGATCTTCAAGGACGCCTCAATCTCGCGATATGTCACATGTCTATCTTCAATGTTGAGTTTGCGCACAACATCGACGTTTTCCTGGGTGACTGCCGTTTTTGGTGCACCCACCCTGGGATCGTCGCTGACTCACCCGTTTGAATTCTCCATACCAACGGGAAATTGTCGACTGATGTGGCGCTTCGTTGCCGAAACCAGACAGTAACTCAGCAAGGCATTCTTGTTGCGATAATTGTCTCTGAAAGTGGTAATAAATTATGGCGCGAAAATGTTCTCGGTGGAGTTCCATTTTTCGAATGACTCGGTGACACTTAAAAATTCACTGTAGTGAGAACACTGCACGTATTGTCGTGAAACTTTGAATTTAAGTTTCCTAAAGAGTGAGGTTAAGATTCAGTACTGACGTTCGATCCGCGCGGCCTACTATGTTTCTATATGCAAAACTTAAAAGACATCCCTCGTATTTAAGGTGCAAATACCAAATAGTTCATTCCACGTTTGCCCGCTATGATCGCTGTGAGCGTCCATCTATGGAGGAATCACTCAACTATATGCGTTGTTGGTTGCATATGTTTTGTGAAGCCGAGTAGTCTGTAGCTTTTATCTCTGAGAAGATGTGAAAGAAAGAAAGTTGGTTGAATAGCTTGATCGCATCTGGATCATTATGCATATTGGTCTACACGTGTATAAAATCAGTGATATATATCTATTAGCTATGGCCGACGCGTTATTTATATGTTGTTCTTTCTGAAAACAGATTATGTTCAAAATTATACATTACGATTTTTTCCGTTTATTGTGTTTTCACAAACTTTGAGGAGCATTACGGTAACATCACACTTCAAACATTTTCGCAGTGCCTCACATCTAGGCTCTGATTTGTATTTTCTATTGATATCGCAAAATAAAATTTAAAGGACTGGAAACAAAAAAATAATGTAATAACCTGTTCACTTTCATAAATATTCCTATTCACTTCAGCAACTAGGAATTTTTTCCTTATCTCTTTCATTTATGAAATTCAGCAAATTTGCCTATGTAATTTCCAGAATGAATAAGAAAAAGTGGATGCGCAACTAATTTCTAGCTTTGAACCTCAACTAAATGTATTTGAGACAAAAAACCAATGGAATTATAATCAACACATATTTTTAGCACACAAACCCTCACTGTGCACCTATGCCCTGCCGTTTCCTTCCAGATATAGTATCTAACTTAGAGTTTAGGCCTCCAATATTGCCATCTCTGAAGCAGATCTTACATCAAATCAGAGCCAAACATTGATAGTTGAAACATCATGACGTTTAGGCAACACGTACAACTACAAAACGAGTTCACAACAAGTGTCCATCTGCGAAGTACATCTTGTAGAAAAACGACATAATGTTACTTTTCAAGACACATAATACCCGTGCGGTAAGTAGAAAACCTTCTTTTGTTTTATTTATTGTATATCTATAATATCGCACAGTTTTCTATGCCAAGATACAAACAATGTATTGCAACTGGTCAACTTGAACACTAAGGATGAATGAGATATACAAGGGTCGACGCGTCAGTGCCGTGGCACAGAAGCCGAACTTATGTCAATGCTTTCCAACGCCGAGTTAAAAGTCTATTTATGGAAAACCCTTTTTACAGCATAGAAGAATACTTAACATCAGACTTGTGAACTTTACTATTGAAAACAGTTTATTTTTAATCTGTTTTCAATCTGTTCGTCGCTCTTTTTTTGTTTATTTGTTATTTATTCAAATCTTTTCAATTTGTTTGTTTATGTTGCTATCAGGTAACCAAATAAGTTCGTGCGGTTGCTGTATATCGCACATTGTCATGGATATTGTTGATCGATAGCGATTGTTTGTTACCTGTTGTCGCTTACTATGAATCCTTCTTTTCTCACACACATAAAAAGTTGCTGAAAATTGTTACATACCTAGTCTTAATAACTGAAAATGGCGACGAATTAAACAGTAATTCGAAGTTGTTTACTGTATGAGTACAATTTTGGTACAAAAACTGCAGCGACGGCGCGAAAAATATGTACCGCATTCGAAGATGATGCCGTTAGTGATCGAATAGCACATAAGTGGTTCAAAAAATGTTCTTCGGGATATCTCAGCTTGAGCGGTGAACCGCGCTCAGGGAGACCAAAAATCATGAACAACGAGGATCTTCGACAAATTGTGGACGCAAATTCCAGGACAACGTGCCAAGAACCTGCAGAAATGTTCAGAGTGAGTCCTGAAACTATTCGTTTGCATCTTCATCAGCTAGGAAAGACGTGGAAGTTAAGCAAATTAATAATATAGTCGTCTTACCATTTGTTCAGCAAACATTTCACACAACGCTAATGAACCATTTCTTAATCGGTTATTAACTTGCGACGAAAAATGGATCTTGTATTCGAATTTTAAGCGTTCGTATCATTGGTTGTTGCCTACTGATTCGGTACCACACACGCCCAAGGCACGCAAACAAGATTTTGTTGTGTGTTTGGTGTACAGCTACTGGAATTGTTCATTATTAGTTTTAGGAAAGAGGTCAAACCATCACTGCTTCAACGAGTACAAACAGCACCCATGCAGAAACAGCCTTCTTTGATCAATCGGAAGAAAGTGATATTCTTGAAAAGAAAAAATTTCTGAACTCTACTTGGAAACGTTACCGCACCCGCCATATTCGCCCAGTGATTATCACCTTTTTTTGTCTGGTGTAATAAATGCAGTCTGTCAACTTTTTTTTTACTCCAAATCCAGGGTGTTCGTCAATACCGCCATACAAAAATTGGTTCCACGTTGGCAAATGGTCATTGAATGTGATGGTAATTACTTCGACGAATAAATAGTGTCTTATTGTTTCTCAATAAAAATTTATATTCTTCTACTTAAAACCGCACGAACTTATTTGGTTACCTGATATTTAATTTATTTAGCGTTGACTGGATCACAACTTTTTCAGTATTTTTTTCTCATTATGTTCCTTGACAATTGGCTGAAACTTTTTTAAGTTAAATGGCAGTAAATGTATTTATTTATTGTATGTCATGTGACGCCACGACCAAACCTCAAAGCGCGAAGGCGATCGGCTACAGCAACGACACAGAAAAAGTCATAACTTCCTGAAATTTTAAGTTATCAGATTAATTTCAGATTTGTGCTTTGACAATGGGCGTGTTATACGGCTGTCCTTGCCAATCGGCCAATCAGCGCGCCGCGTCTACGCTCTAGCCTGCGGAAGTTTGTTTTGACTGACTGCATGTCAAAAATGAATTTGTTATGGTAAAATATCTACTCACCTGCAATAATTTGTTCCCTCTCATACGATTGTTTGATCTTCTGAAGTAGTCCACAAAACGACAGAATGAATATGAATATAAGACCACTGAGTAGAATAAGCTCGAATGCCATACTAAAAAAAAAACACAGGCAAATTATTGAAAATCACGAAAGAACGTGTAATATTTCTCATATATGTACCTACATCATGAATTCTAGTTGGATTTCTTCATAATTCGAATACGGTATCGATCATCAGCGTTATCTGTTTTGATTAGATAAAGCAGTTTGCAGGTTATTCTATTGTATTCCGGTTAATTAGTCTGTCCACAAGATGTTTGAAAATTTCACCTGCAATCATGATCAAACGAAAGTTTTGTTAAAGTGTATACGATTTTTCTAGGGATTCATCAAGTCAAGTAGCTTAATATTTTTATAAACTACTTGACATCTTGACAAACATAATTACTTAACACGTTGATGCTTGACTTGGCTTGATTTTTTTATTGTTCTACTTGACTTGAGGTCAAACTAAAGTGGAATCCACTTATAATGAACTTGCTTCTAATGGAAACCCGTATATAATGGTCACAATTTAAGGTCCTATAAATAATTGCAAGTAAAATCCTCCGATGTCATAGACTCGCTAAAAATAGACCCTCGCTTATAGCGGAGTATTTTAATCCATTATATGCCAGCTATTTTGGTAGTTCCCCGGAGCAGATTTGGCTTCGCAGTTTGCATTCGAACTTGGCCACCAGTGTTATACTGTATTTATTAGAGTTATAAACATGTCGAAAAGTGCGAAACGTGCATTCACTTTACACGAAAAGTTCACAATAATTATTAGTGAGCTTGAGCAGGGTTCATCTCAAGCAAATATATGTGCTCGTATGGCTATAAAAAAATCCACTGTGTCTAATATTTAGAAAAACCGTGACAAAATTAAAAATGAATGGAAATCAAATAGTCAAAAGAAAAAAATGCGGCCAGCGCTGCATCACATTGTTTCTGCAAAAATGTGTGGTGAGTCAGCTTCAGTTGACAAGAACGTTACCAATGACGGGATTTATCAAGTTTGGCCCGTAATATCCAGTGATTATTCAGATGATAACATATTCCATGCAGATGAAGCCGAGATATTTTATAGAATGCTACCAGATGAAGCTCATAAATTAAAAGGTGAAACTTGCAATGGAGGGAAACTATCAAAAGAGCGAATAACTCTTATGATTTGTGCTAATGCTTCTGGTACTGAAAAACTGAAACTATTGATAATAGGTAAGTGAATGAATAGAAATTCATGTTCTAATTTTTTTGATATTCAATGGCAGTGGTGCAGAATTTAATAACTTTTTTTTTATTTCAGTGAAATTCAAGAATCCCAGACGTTTCAAAAATGTTAGAACAATGCCCGTCGATTATGTTGGAAATAATAAAGCTTGGATGACTTCATCAATTTTTGAAGAATATTTAAAAAAGTGGGATGCTGAACTTGTGAAGAAAAATCGTAAAATTTGGCTCTTGGTCGATAACTGCCCCGCTCATTCAAATATTTCACTTAATAACATCAACCTTCAGTTTTTTCACCTAATGTGACATCAGTTCTGCAACCCATGGACCAGGGTGTCATTTGGAGTCTTAAACAAATGTATCAGAAATATACGTAGATGAAAATTATGGAGCTTCAAGAAGATGTCAACATTACCAAAGCTGTCACCGTTTCAGATGCTATAAATTTGCTTACTATTGCATGGGAGTTGGTTACTCCAGAAACGATACGTAATTGTTTTCGCCATGCTGGTTTAGTGAAAAACATAACTGAAATAGTGAACGATTTTAATCCAGAAGATGAAATTCCATCAAGTGATTTACTGAAAATTAATAGTTTACTGAATATAGACAAATTTAATGAGAATGTAAGTGTTGACAATAATTTTGTCATTGTTAGACTCCAATTTGGTTAATAAAGGATCCGTTGATAACGAACAGAAAGACGAACTAGAAAACAACGTTGAAGAAGAGCTTCCAGTGACAACTAACGAGGCATTAGACTGCGTGGAAAAGTTGCAATGTTATTTTCAGCAAGAAGAAGACAGTACAGTCACACTTACCAAATTAAATAAAATTCAACTTGCAGTTCTAAATAATTATACAAAAAAACAATCTGTCCAAATGAAAATTACTAGCTTTATTAACAAATATTTTCACACAAACCTACACAGTACGTATGCCTGTAATATGTGTATCAGATTCTGCTAAAATGCAAATTTCAAAATTACGTATAACTTTTTTGTATGTATCTTTATTTATGTAATACATGTTAAACAAGCACATTTTAAGCTTTTAATATGTTATTTCTGCTACTTCTCTCATAAAAAAAGTGTTTCTTTTGAGATGGTCATCCGCCTATAATAGACTATTTGTCACAGTCCCGCCGAGTCCATTATAAGCGGGTTGCTCTGTACTTGATACTTGATGGTAAATTACATTTTTATTCTACTTTAGGCCTGCAGTGATGTTAATTTGTACAACCGATGGAAATAATTTCGTATTTCAATGTTAATAATCAAGAGGAAGTATTGTAGTCGCGAAAAATTTTGAAATTGAGTTACATATTATGTTTTTTGGATGTTATATGACATGAACATCACGAACAAATGTGTCACTCATTCTCGTCGTTCTGCCTGTCTGTGGGTCTGTCGGTCCAGGTTTTTAAAAATATGTTCAGGGCGGCGGAGCTAGAAACAAAAAATCTAAAAAATAAACTCAATTTTTTTGTTTTTTTTGTAGGGGCTGAAACCTGGGAGTTTGGGGTTGTAGGGAGTAGGGGATTGTAAATGTTACGTCTTTAGTTTTAGTCAAATACTTTCTATCATTAAGAAGCTTCCGATCCCAGTAAATACGGGAAAATTAAATGATAAAAGTTCGATTTACAATGTTCTCATAATTCGAAATGCTGCGCGGTGCGATGCTGCATTGTCGTGGAGACTACTGCTAACTGTGCCATGGTTAACAAACACCAATTGGTGTATGTGCTCATTTTCAGACACTGTTTGAAGAGGATGAAAATTGTAGGTTGGAAGCTGTATGCGGTAAGTGAAGTTAATAAGAAACTACTGATCTCAGTGATACTATGCACATGTTAGACATAATGTCATACATATTCTTCCTACATCTGCCATTGAAACAGAAATATGATATATTTGCTTTATATAGTTTGATGTGCAGAGGTCGAAGATTCATCGTACTTAAGTGAACCTACCTAATCACGATACGATTTCGCCTTTTGAAACGGCTTGATTCATCCTTTCTGTTTGAAACCTGCTACGAAAGAGTGGGAAGAATGGAGTTAATCTACTTGACGCCATTTCTTTTGTATCAGCTAATGAGGAAATGCTTCTTTTTCTATATGAGTTTATAGTTTTATCGCTCCTCTATTTGTTATACGTATTTACGAGGGCGGTTCAATAAGTACCCGTGTTAGAAATGAATTCTTTTTATTTTCAACATAATCCTCTTTTAGAAAGATACACATTTCCCACCGTTCCTGCCATTTTTTAACCCCCCCCCAAAAAAAAAATAGATTTTGTCGAACTCTCCAAAATACACCTCTGTCTCGGTTGATGACTTCCTTGTTTGAGCTAAATTTTTTCCCCGCGAGCCATTTCTTCATGTCAGCGAACAAGAAAAAGTCGCAGGGGCGCCAGATCGGTGAATACGGGGGGTGCGGCAGCACTTCATAACGCAATTCATGCAGTTTGGCGGATGAATGTGCTGGTGTGTTATCGAGGTGAAACAGCATCTTCTCTTTCGTCAAATGTGGTCGTGTCTCCTTCAATGTTTTGTCGAAGCGGTCCAATAACTCACTATAGTATTCTCCAGTGGTCGTTCTTCCTTTTTCTAAAAAATCCACGAGGATTACGCCGTTCGCATCCCAAAAAATCGTCGCCATGGCCTTTCCGGCCGATGGGACCGTCTTCGCCTTCTTTGGAGCAGATTCACTTTGAAAAATCCTTTGTTTTGATTGTTGCTTAGTCTCTGGTGTGTAATGATGAATCCAGGTTTCATCGACGGTGAAAACTCCTTCGGATTTCGCTTAAATTGCTCCAAACACTGCTTCGAAGTAAACAGCCGCATCCGCTGAGCAATCGCGGCACCCATCGGGCCGACAATTTTTTCATTGCCAACTTATCATATAAAACATTGATTGCCGTTCCGGTCGACACACCTATGGCCTCTGCTACTTCGCGCACTTTCGTTCGTCGATCAGCGAGAATCATGTCGTGGACTTTTTGAATGATTTCCTCGGTAACCACGTCTGCCGGGCGTCCTGGTCGATCATCATCAAAAACGGATGTTCGTCCACGTTTAGATTCGTTGAACCAATATCTAACTGTGGTCATAGATGGCGAAGTGTCCCCACAAACATCATCCAACTTTGCTTTTATCTCCTTGCATTTTTCCCCGTCCAAAAACAGAAAGCGAATTACCAAACGATTCTGCTCTTTTTCCATCCTAGCGAAAATCACGAAACAGGTGTTACTTTAATGGCTGCCAAATCCAAACTAACCTATCAATCAGTCTAGGGATGTTCGATACGATCCGATATTTAGAAGTATCGATACTTGTCTCCGATACCCGATATTTTGGATCGATATGTTTATATACGATACTTGGGGGTATCGATACATTTCGCGGGTATCGTTATCTTTCGATCCGAACTGTGTCGGAAAGAGTGACTAACTTCAATTTACTTTCTTTCTTTACGTATTTTTTTTTCATCAGAGGTTCTGGTTGACCTTGAGTGACAGAAATCACACAAATGCCAGAGATCAATCATACAGAGTTGCCAGAGCGTGTCGACGGATTTTCATACATAGTGGAAATTGGCCATTACGATTTGCCAAAATGATCAATCCAGAAGAAAAACTGCTCTTAAATAAAAGCTGAAAGACAAAAAATCTCTTTTTCACCATTTGTGTCAAAATTATCTACTTTCCGTGGTCTGGCAAATCAGTTTCTTCTTCGAATTTCGATGAGTTCCTGTTTCCTGTGGCAATTCAGTTTAAATTTACCGCTCTCATTAGTGTCATATGTCTGTTATATATTTCAAACAAAGTGTTGCAGCATCAGATCAGTTAAGAAAAGCGCTGCAACATCAAAACGCCCTTAGACTAATTCAATCAGTGCCAGCCAGATGGAATTCAAAATATTTTATATTAGAGCGATTTGTTAAACTCCATGAATATGTGGCTGCTATTTTGATAAGAAATCCCAAGCCTCCAGAAATTTTAAGTGCTTTAGAATTGGAAACAGTAAAAGAGGTTTTAAATATTTTAGCCCCAGTAGAGGCAGTTTCTAGAGAGATATGTGGGGAGAAATATTTAACCTGCAGTAAAGTTATACCCATTATAAATTGCCCTTGAAAAAAAATAAAAATTTTACTGCAACAACAACAGACGCTTTAGCTCTTAAAACACTAATACTCGAGAAACTTTTAAAACGTTTTGGCAGCATCGAGCAGATTAAACTTTTAGCTGTCCCAAATATCCTACACCCTCATTTTAAACGATTGCACTTCAATAGTCCAATTTCTTGTGCTAAAGCAGTCACCTGCCTGAATCAATCATTTCAGTTGCGCAAGAAAGAAACAAATACAGAAAAGGCAAAATCAAATTAATATTCTTGAAAAACCTGACAGTGTTTGGGTCTAACATGAAAAACTAGCCCAAAATCATACAGATAAATATGATGATACCAAATCAGATATTGATCTTGAGCTAAAACTCTATTTCAATAATCCTACTAAGCCCCTAAACTCGGATCTCTTTTTGTACTAGAATAGCTCAAGTTATTCCTCAGGAAAATTAAAGAACTGGCTAATAAACATCTCTCTGTTGTTCCCTGAGAGAGACTCTTTTCTGAAGCCGGAAATATACTCTGCCAAACCCGAAACAGATTAACTGGTGACCGAATGTCAAATTATTCTTACATTCGCTGAGTGCTGAAGAATGGTATTTTTAAGATTTCGAACTTCGAGTTATTTGTAGTATTCTTTTTAATACCATATGTTTATATATTTTATGTTAATAATAAATAATCGTTTTGTAATGAATTTCTTAGTATTTATTTTTTACCTATTTTTTTGTGAACGTATTTGACAATCGTCATGCAGTTGAAAAAAGTGACGTTATTTAGAGGGTTGTAAAAAAGCAACTTCGATTCTCGGCAGTGTATAGTGTATGCTCCGTATCGAAAGGTATCGATACTCATGAGATCGATATTTTTATTCCGATATTTTAATGGATCGATACTCCATTGAACGATACGAATCGATACTTGGTATCGATATTTTACGTGGATCGGAACATCCCTAAATCAGTCTGAAATTTGTTGTGCTGTCGTCTGATAGATGGCAGCACAAGACGATAACATTAACTTCCCTCAGGAACGCCCTCTGTCGTCAAACACGGGTAATATCAAGAATAGTACATATACATATTTTTCAAAAACAATCATGCCCTTGGGTTGATACTTTGTGCCTTATAGCCAGTTTTACAAAATCTATAGGGATCGCGGCAGCGGTAACAGATACGAAGCTGGCTAAGCGGGACCAAAGTTGCAAATTTAGGTAAGTAATAAGATGGAATTTAGAAAGTTCCTTAATTTCGAGCATTTCCGGAGATAGACGAAAGAAATCTAATTTTCCCAAAATCGTTTATATTTCTCTTGCCTTTATTTAAATTGAGATCGGAATAAAACATACTTCAACATTGCTATTTTTTCTCCTCAACAAAATGGCATAATTAGAATTTCAATATGACCTTTTTGTCCCTTGTCGTGAGTCATCAACTGGTTTTTCTTATACACAACATACTGGACTTTTGCACAGGTAGAGTGCTTAATTTTCATTCGAAAAATGTATAATCTGTCATACATTGACATTGTCAGACATGAGTTATTTAAAAAAGTGGCGTCAAGTAGGTTAACTCTGCACTTCCCATGCTACGCTGTCATCAGTTCGTGAATGATTGTTTGGTACAAGTTAGCCCTTCTGAGGGAAAAGCTAACCACGGATATGTATAACAAAAGATTAAATGACCTTCCTCCGTCCCCTGAGAGAAATTGCTGCAGGCGCACATGATCGTTGCGTTGACCAATCCCGCGTGCACAACGCACGCAGCCCCCACTAGTGTGGAAGCGATTGCCAACGGTGACGAACGACCACCGACGATGACGCTTGTCCATCGGAGAATGACGTCGCTCGACGCACGTATCGACACCCGACTGTAGGAGATATTTTAAGGGTAAAGGTACGGGGACATGAATGATGAGTGAAATATGACTGGTATGTGCATAGAGTTGCTGGAGTTGGTGGCGTATAAATATACCAACGTCAAAAAACATAGATATACCCTCCTCATCCCCTGCAACCCTCAACCTCCAATGTTTAACCCCTACAATTTTTTTCGGAAAATGATCAGAATCATCTGAATTAACTTCAAACCAGTTCGAGCGTTTTTCATTCTTTTTTTGTTATTGGCCATTTTCACTGCCGCCACTGGAACGATTTTCGAAATCGAATTTTTATCGAAATCAAGATATAGTTATATAAGATTAGTACACAGACCAACGGAAATGAGAGACCTGGTTTTAAGTGATGTTGACGTACCTCAGGGCTCTGTATTGGGGCCGCTTCTGTTTCTCATATTTATATACGTTCGACTTAAGCAAAAGTATTGATAATTCTCATGTCCAGTCATTTGCAGACGGTACGCAATTGCTCCATTATTTTAACCCAGATAATGTCAATAATACTACTCAAATTTTACAAAACGATGTTAGTAAATTAATTAAATACTCTTTAGATCACAATCTACTTATTACTCCACAAAAATCTAAAATGTTATTATTTTGCGCACAAAGAAAAACATAAAATGTAACACAGCTCTTGAACATTCAGATAAATAACCAAATCTTGCAATTTTCTGATTCTGCAAAAATTCTTGGTGTTGTTTCGTACCTTGTTTAGACAATTTCACTAAAAACGTTATTCAAGTTATTCAAAACAATTGTAGACGTCTCATCTTTGCTTACGAAAATTTGATCATGTATCAGTGCAATATCCCATTCTAAACTGGTTAAAAATTAATGACATGGTCAAGTATCACTATTCAGTTTTTGTTCACAAGTTGCTGATCACGTCTAAACCTTATTACTTGAGGGAAAAAAATTCATTTAATAATGATGTTCACTGTAGAACTCTCAGAGAAAATAATACTAGAATACCCCTGCATACGTCTACAGTTTTTAAACGCAGTTTTTCTTACAATGTTGCTATTATTTGTAATGACCTTCCTAAAGTATATAAAGAATTTTCATCTTTCGACAAAAAGTTAAAACAGTATTACTCAACCCTCCAAACATATAATTTACGTAATCATTCATTCCTTTTTTATTCCGTCTTTAATTCAGATTAATAATTTTTTGGTGTACTTTTGTTTGGAAACTATGCCTTTTTCTCTTTTTTTAAATTTTACTTTCGATGTAATGAACCAAATCTGTTTGTGGATAGTGGATTTTTTTGAACATCTGCTAGAGACTATATGGTTAAGTGTAAGAGTAGCAGCATGCTAAAATTCGCCATGTAAGTCTGACATTTGGCTATACTACAATGTAATTGTGGATAAATAAAGACGTCTATTATTATTATTATATGACATCCAAAAATCATGTCTCATTTTCGAAAATTCTCGCGATTGGAAACCTCAGTCATAGATTAATAATATTTGCATGTGTGTATCGGTTTAGATATGGCGGATATTTGATGTATTTAGGAAGCTGCAACATCGACAAAGTCTTTATGTGTTTATTTAGTAAGCACAGCTTTGTCGATAGAGAGGTTGGCAAAAGTTATCAAGTTTTTTGTTGACCTCAAAAATAGGTTAAAAATGTGTAAAGTTTGAATAGTACGTAAATTGAATTATGCTAACAATATGTTCCTTTTTTACGTATAAATAAACTACTACCTTTGCCTCTGGTATTACGTTCTCTCCGATTTATGTATGACTACAGCGCATTCTTATTAAGCTTCTATTTAATAAAGTTTTATATACGTATAATTAGTTTTACCTTTTAAGACGTCCTAACAAACTGCAGCTCATTTTATTAAAGGATGCTTACCAGATACATGTGACCTATACTGCTATACTTCACGTACGGTTATGGTCGGTACCAGGTACATATGACTTGATTGAACGTGTTAACACAGGAAACCAGTTTTCACCATGATTAGAGATGATGGTTTTCGAAAAATCTTATAGAAAGCCTCAAGATGTGATGGCTCGTCCGTTGTTTTAAGCTAATGAAACTTCGTACACCATAAGAACCATGAGGTGTCGTGGGGCCAAATTTTGGCCAATTTCAACTAAAAAAGCTTGTCACTCGAATTCAGCGCGCTCAAGAATACGCACAAACAATACGGGAAAGGCGTATGTTGTATAGTAGTATTGTATATAATCTTTATTTAAACAACGAAAAAATCTGAACCGCCAAAAAAAAAATAACAAACGAACGAAACTCTGTAATTTGGTAATTTGGGGCGCAAAACCCAAATGTAAGGTGGTGTTGGACAGGTAGAGAACCTGTGTTAATACGATACATTAAACATATAGAAAGTCCTATAAAGTGTGATCAAACACAAAGCAATTATAGGAAAATGTCATACATACACAAAATACGGTGTAATTTCCACAGATGTCTTGTTTACATTATGAATCTCTTTTTTAACCTGATCAATTTTTTTTAAGATCAGAGATACATGCAACTATTTAACCCATATTATTCAAAAAACACTTTATCCACTTTTCCACTATAACTGACGTCGAAGTCTAATCAAAACGTGGTTACGGTTAGTAGAACAAAGACAGAATGATTAATTCACCAGCTCAGCATTGGTGTTTACACTTTGATATAAGGATTTCGATCTGCTCATTTTGCAACGCTATCAAAAGATAAATAAGTTTCAGGAATTAATTCGTGCTCAACGGTGGTTTACAGTCGAGCATGTCTGTACTTGTTCGGGAACACTAACGGGTGACTGCCGTATTTCTTATATCAAGCACATATACAGGGTGGTGCAGATTGTATGTAAATACAAATACAGTATAATATGATGTAGTTAAAGATGAATGCACGTTGAAAGATCGAAAAAGCAAATACCTGAGAAAATCGAATTTCTCATTTTAGAGCCAAACCATGAATCGACTATCGTGAAAGCTAAGTGACATATAAATCCGAACACCCAGTTTAAATGGTTTTATTTTAATAAAAGTTGGTGAATGTATTTATCTTACTGTAAATAACAAGTGAAAAAATGTTCAGCCTTATCAGTTGGACATTCCGGTTTTTATACTGCTTTGTTTTAATTCACTAACGCTCTAAAAGTGAATATTTCAGCAGTAAAAAATCAACGTTGGCGGATTTTGGTTCTTGACATCCTTTACGATCGGTTACGATGCCTAGAGTACGGAGACCTGTACGATTTCGTCAACTTAGTGAGTTTGATAGGGGCCGTATAGTGGGACTTCGGGAAGCTGGACTTTCGTTTCGGGCAATTGCAGTTAGAGTGCAAAGAAGTGTAGACACTGTGGTTAGGTGTTGTCAGGTATGGCTTCGAGAAGGCCGTACGCAAAGAGCAAGGAGCACTGGACGCCGCCGTAGAACAACAGACCGTGAAGGTCGCCGCCTAAGATTATTGGCCTTAAGGGACCGTTTCTCCACTACCAGGTCCATTGCAAATGAATGGTTTGCAGAACACGGAAGACCTATTGGCATGCGAAGTGTTTACCGACGAATGAGAAGTTTTGGCTTGTTTTCATACCGGCCATACTGGGTCCTCCCTTTAACTCGAGAACACCGACGTAATCGCCTTGAGTGGTGCAGACAACGGTCACTCTGGGATCAGGAATGGAACAGTATTGTGTTTAGTGACGAGTCTCGATTTTGTTTAGGCATGCACGATGGTCATGCCAGGGTTAGAAGGCGACGTGGTGAAAGGAGGAATCCACAGTTTTTTGTTGAAAGACATGTTCATCACACTGTTGGAGTTATGGTTTGGGGTCATATAGCTTATGGTTCCAGGTCACCTTTAATCTTCATCAGAGGTAACATGAACGCGCAGCGTTATATCCACGAAGTATCTTGACACCCTGGCAGATCCAACTTTCCAACAAGATAATGCCCGACCACATGTTGCAAGAGGCATAATAGACTTCTTTCAACATAATGATGTCACATTGTTACCATGACCACCAAGATCTCACGACTTATCCCCAATTGAGCACGTGTGGGATATGATGGGTAGGAGATTGCTCAATTGGCCCCGTTCTCCTCAGACTCTAGAAGCACTTCGAGAGGAGTTGGTGGTTGCCTGGAATGAGATACCACAGGAGGACATTGACCACCTGATCAGAAGCATGCCTAGGCGCGTTGGAGAATGCGTAGCACATCAGGGTGCATCCACACATTATTAAAGGTCAAAGGGCTTTAAAGCAGTGCAATCATTTTGAAATTTTTATCATTTACTTATTATGCTTCATTAAGTACTTATACAAAATTTTATTAAAATAAAACCATTTAAACTGGGTGTTCGGATTTATATGTCACTTAGTATACATAAACTTATTCGTTCAACTTTCTTCAATAATTGGCAATTGGTTGTAAAAGAACCCACGTGCTAATTTGACTACCAGGCATAAAAATGTTTTTTTAAACAAAAAAATTGACATTGCAAGATAATTTTTGTGCGTTAAATTTCATCTTAATACTATCTATGGCTATTTAAAATATTATATATCTTAAATAACTTTCCCGATCTTATAACTGAGGAGGATTGAGTCAACAGTTTTGCGGAGTAACCTCATTTTTGTAGTTTGTGGATTTGAATTTGATATTTTGGTGCATATAGCGTATGAATATGAAAATTGAGTACTGTTTTTGAAACGACCGTTTCAAGTATCCGCTGTCAAATAATGCTAGCAAGAACCATCCAAGTCCTACACGGTTATTATGTAAAAAAACCAATAAAACGTCAAAAAAACCTATAAGATGTCATCTTGCAGACTAGGAAGTTTTTAGAGCGAAAACAGTCGTTCCACGTTTGCTTACTAGGATCATTGTGAACGTCATCTATGGAGGAATCACTAAACTAAACTACACGTATTGTTGGTTGCATATGTTTTGTGAGGCCGAGTGGTCTGTGTCTGAAATTTTTATCTCTGAGAAGAAAGTTGGTTGAATAGCAAGATCGCATCAGGATGATCATGCGTATTGGTCTGCATGTGTATAAGATCAGTGATATTTGCTGTGTGAGAAAATCATTACTCAACATGCTGCCAATGAAGTATATCTATTAGCTGTGCCCGACGGGTTATTTATATGTTGTCCTTTCTGAAGACAGGTTATGTTCAAAGTTATAAATTACGAAACACTTTGAGGAGAATTACGGGAAATCATCACCGGCCCGCGCTGTGTGTAATTACTATTAGCACGTATATGGCTTGTAATTCGACAGTGTACTGTGAAAATAACTATTTTCTATCTCTCTCGTTTTTGAAATCCAACAGATTTGCATACGTAATTTCCAGAATGGATAAGAAAAAGTGGATGCGCAACTATTTTCAAGCTTTAAATCTCAATTAAGTTTATTTGAGACCAGAATCCAATGGAATTATCATCAATACACACAAATTACAGTTGAGACCTCCAGTAATGCCATCTCTGAAGCATCACATCAGAGCCAAACATTGACAACTGAAGCCTCATGACGGTTAGGCAACACGTACAACTAAGTGCTAAGTTAATATCTTGTAGAAAAACCTACATAATGTCAGAAAAACCAGTATAATGTCAAAAAATTGAAACGTCAGATCGAAATTCTAATTATGCCACCGTTCAGAAGAGAAAAGGTGGGAATGTTATTGTATAATTTGTTTGAAATTTGTAGACGATGTGGATGGAAAGTTTGGTTTGGGACTAAAGCCAGGAAAAGATATAAGCGACTCAGAGTAAATTCCGAAACTGACCATGTTCTATTTCTTTATTTACCGCGTAGCCATAACGTCAGTTTTTTTATTGATGCATCATGTTACGCAGAAATCCACTGATGGTACGGACCACAGTGAAACCTGATAGTGTGAAATTCGCTTTACCGTTTCCGAGATCTCAAAGGCTAGGTTCAAATTTGAAACACACGTAACATACGTTATAAAGTGCTTTTAGCAAAATTAAGTTTATATCTAATAGATATTGAATTAGCTTGTGGAAATCCTGTACATGTACTTTTTGTAAAAAATGTTCTTCCATTTCATTTTTGCCGAGCTAGGGAAGACGGTGGATAACTGCCCCCCTTGCCCCCCTGGGTACGCCGTTGCTCTATGCTGTATTTGTGTGCTTACATACAACTTCCATCGTGACAGCCATGTTGCCAAATGGGATCGAAGTAATTCTCTTCGCAGTAACAAAAAACAGGCTCAATATTTATTTTAAATATAATACTCATTAACAAGGAAACGTCACCCCTGAACCGTTTTCGTAATTATCCCTCAGATTTCGTATTTTCAGAAATTCTCAATGACGGAAAAATAATTGTTCAACCTGCGTTAGCAGTAAGATAGGTAATAATGCTGACGCTTAAGTTGTAAGCATGACGGTATGTTTTGATGGAATATCTTAATCAATGCACTGACAATAAATACAATTATAAAGCACGTCACGCGGCTGGTCGTAGGAGCGACTAGTAGTAGAGGTTCGGTTTTGGTGAATAACTAATAACCAAAGCTCTCGACTTTTGTACTTCGATGATATTTTCTTCTACCCGTTTACCATCTCACCAAAGATCGATATGAAAAAAGCTTTTGAAATTATGAACTAAGAAATCTCCTGCAGAACAAAGAAAACAGAACTTTGTGTTTCATCATATGTTAGATAAATTCAATATATTCTGGAATAGTTAAACCCAACCCAATGGGGGAAAGCTAGAAGTAGAGGGCGCTAGTCAGGCTGGGGGTTATGTCTGAGGTTATAAATAGACAAAAAAGACAATTGCTGATCACTTGTTGCCTATATACGTGGAGAAGCGACGACAATGTCGTTCGTGCTGTAAAACCGACCTTGAAATTTGACGTCTAGAGTGCCACAGGTGCTTTGACAGGGTTGCCACGTTGGAGAATTCCCCCCATATTTAAGGGATTTTTACTTGGGAAGATTTTTAGGGATATAATGTTCTGAGGGATATCACACGTTTTGCGGATAGAAAGCATCCTCCGGCTCTTTGAACTTAATTTGAGGGATTTTCCTGAAAGTAGCAATTCTGAGGGATGGTTTTGCTTGTTCTGGGGGAATTCTATCTGACCTATCTGGCAACACTCTGATTTGACAAATCCGTCATACGAACACCAACAAACGAATTGACATTTAGCTCATTGTAATTTTTGCTTATTTCTTATGAATCCTTGGCGTAAATAGTCGGAAATCTGCTATTTAGCTATTTGTGAAGAACTGTTGAAAAACCCCCTTTATGTTCAACGAGGGTAACGAGGGGCAATAGTAACATGTTCAATGTTCGGAATTCCTACTATTTCCAAAATGCTGGAGAAAAACTCAATATTTCATCCAACGAGCGACCAGGTTTATGGATTAAGTCATTGAAGATCCTTGATAGAATAACCATATTCAAGAACTTGTTCCAGGTATATTAGGAAGGGTAACGTCTAGAGAAACAAAATTGATGGAACTAAAAATGTACGAGTATGCTATAGGAGCTCCAGCAGATTTAAGAGACAAAGTCAAAATATGGAATACTACAATCCTATTCTCTTTTGATACTGCACTGAAATCGTGCAATTTCACGCGTGGGATCCTAACAGCTAATTATAATAACAAGGGCGCAACTTACAGATCTTACGAATAACTTTGGTTTTAATAA